GAGAGTGCTGCATACATGCGTGAGCTTATATATATACATACATGTGGCGACAGGGATGTGATGGAGAAATCCTTCCAGTTGAAGAGAAACTAATTAACTGAATGTAAGGTTGTAGTCTTACAAGGTCTCTTGTGCTGAGCACTGTACTGGATTATATATATTCCTGCGAATTGGATGCATATGGTGGCAAGAGTCTGGAAATGCTTTGCTTCAATTTGAGCAATAATCTGTAGCGTACATGTTAGGACGACCTCTGAGGGAACAAAAACACGAAACTGTTCATTAAAATCCATGAAAGAGCCTCCAACCAATAATGTATGTTTGCTGAAACCCTCATCCAGAATCTGATGAACTGCATTGTAAATTAAACTTGGGATGGCTCACGCCCGATGCTGAGTTGGTGAGAGCAAATCAATAATAAAGGCCAAGAAACAGTATGGGTTCTTGAATGTCGGCAACCCTACGCCTCACATTTGCCCACTCATGCTGACCATTCAAACAAAAACAATGCGTGCACGCTAATCCCACCTCTCCTCCTCCATAATTAATACAAGCAACCCTTTATTTGCCTCTACTTCCCTATATTTACGCGTATTCTGTTCTCTCCGCTACTTCTAATTTTACCATCTTCCTTCCTCTCTTACGTACTACACCTTCCTAACGTACGTATCTAGATTTTACGCATCTCCAGACTGAAAGCAAGGAAAATACAGAAACTCCTAATTTTTGAACTCGCAACTCGCCCATACTATGATAGGTATATCTAGTACCACAGATATTTACGGTTATAGTCATAATGATTGGGTGTTTAATTTTAAATTTTTAAGTTAGTAAATGTGGAATTTCATTTTTCGGAGGTTTTCTTAGGACATAATAATCTACAAATTCATAACATAAACAACCGTCCATTTTCATATTTTAATGAGTAAATCATATTTGTAGTTCTTTCAAATTAGAATGTATTTTATTATAGATAAAACATTATAAGTAATTAAAATCAAAATAATCAAATAGTATACTCACAGTTCGGATTTAATAAAGAATCTTTTAACATTCCTTCAAATAAATTGTAAAATTGATACCAATATTTAGAGAATACCGATGTATATTATTGTAGATTGCAATTGTAATTGAGGTTGCTTAGAATTAAAAGACCCTAAATCCCAATTAATGATTTCTTTATTTTTTCCTCAATTAAGAGAATGATTTAATTGAACTCTCGAAATGACATATTGGAGATTAGATTAGAATTGATTATTACTCATCAAGATTCTAATCGATTATCTGATGTAACAATTTTAAAATACAGGATTTAGTTACAAAAATAACTGCATCTCAATTATATATAATGTAAAGTTTGGTAAGTGGAGCTCGAGAGGCAGCGCATAACCAAAGACTATTGACAGCAAATGTCATATTTATACTGTACAGACTCAAACCAACTAGATGCGACAACTCTCAACAATGGGCTTGGGCTGACACCGGCCCAATCTTATCATATAATAGAGCACTATTCTAACTCTAACAATAATGTTTTCACGCTAACAAAATTTTGTTATACGAACAAGTTGAATTGGATTGAGATGGAAAAAAAAAAAACTAAAATATCCTCAAAAATACTAAAAAACAAATGAGGGTAGGTAAATTTTAAAATTTCAAATCAGATCCTGGTACTGTTTTGGAATTTTCAAATCTTGTGAAATAACAACATTGTCCTTACACTCGGTGATTACTTTCATATAGCTATTGACTACTCTAATTTAACAATTGACTATTTTTGTTTTCAAAGTTTTGGTAACTACTTTTATATAGTTATATTGACTACACAAAAGTAGTAAATAACTAAACAAAAAGTAATTATTAGATCTCCAACAACATTTAATATTAGATCTCCAATAGCTAAATAAGAGTAGTCACCAAAATTTTAAAAACAAAAGTAGTCAATCGTAATACTAGAGTAGTTAGTAGCTAAACAAGCGTAATCATTCGAATTTTAAAAACAAATATAGTTAATAGTTTAAAAAGAGCAGTCAATACATAAGAAAGAGTAGTCACCGGAACTCGGAGGCTAGCCACCGGCACTGGCAGTCGGAAGTGTTGAAGTGGTAGTATTTAAAAAAAAAATAGTAAAAAAATTGTAAAGGGTATTTGTGTAATTTTACAAGATTTGAAAATTCCAAAATAGTATCAGAGGTTTGATCTGGGATTTTGAAATTTGCCTACTCTTATTTGTCCTTTAATATTTTGAGGGTATTTTAATGTCTTTTTCTTTTGAAGATAACCCTGATAATATTCCTGTTGTGGTTCTGGACAATTTTCCTGCCACAAATAAAAGAAAAATTATATATATATTTTTTAATAAAAATTTAAATGAGTTAGATTCAAAAACTCATTACGGTAGGATATGCTTTCAGATACAGATAGATATAATTCGCCTACAAATAAGGTACTCATACCAGAAATAGGACTCAAACTCACGAGCTTGTGAGTTATTAATGACCAAATCTTGTCAGCAAAAAAAATTATATTCTTTAGTCATCATCTTAAAACTCATGCTCTTCGGTCAAATTTACGTTTGTCTTCTATTCTGTCATTTGTGACCTTTCCTTCGGATGACGAACGGAATTAATAGCACTCAGGTTATCCAATCTTCAGCGAGGACCAAATGAGGGACGAGGCTTCCCCTTTGCCATCACAATTATAAGGCAACCAACCAGTGTGCTGAAGAAGAGGGATCCAGGTTGCCTGGTCCGGACGAACCCATACACCCCCTTAGAGTGATTAGAACAAGGTCAGTGACTGTGAGCCCCTTATTTGACAAGTCCTCAGAGATTGATCAGTGTATCATGATTTTATATCACCAGTCAGTCATGTTGATGGGCCATGCATACCTCATCACCTCGGTTTATCATGAAGATGACATCTCCAGGGGTCTCCTTACCATGCCTATTATGAGAATGGGTGCAGCCACCTCTAGGGATGCAATGTCTGAAGTTCCACTGAACCTTTTAGAAAATTCCCCATGGCTGAGCAACTTTAAACGGTTATAATGACATATGGATACATTAAAAAGTTGTTCCCGAACAAGCACACCAGATGTTGCGACTGCCCAACACGGTCCCAGAACTTCATTTGACCCACTAATTATCTGCTCAGCACCATTTCCCTCAACAGCCTGAAAGCATCATTATGACCCCCACATCATAAGTGATCATTTTCTTCATGTTATCATGCCTAAAATGATAATCCGTTTGAAGGGGAAAAAAACAAAGCAACAAAGGAAGGAAAGCACGCGCCTGCGCATGGTCTGGAAAATGACACATAAGAGGATAAAACTAATGACCTACAGCAGGTGACAAACCACATAGGTTTGTCCTCCAGCACATTCGTTTTCAGAATCTTGGAGAAGGGTAGAAGCTAAGGCATTCAGAAGCGACGATCTTTTAGTAGACTGGTGGTGCAGCATCTGGTTACAGGCAAGAATTTCCATCAGCAAGTTCTAACCGAATCTTCTTTGGGATTGGATATTTTCTAGCTTTTTTTTTTTTTTGGGGGGGGTGTTCTGATCATAATTTTATTCAACAAGGTTTCTTGTCTGAGGTCCAGATGGGTACTTTTGAGATAATCTCTGTGTGTGTGTCAGTGTGTGTGTGTGTTAGGAAGGCTCATGGTTCTCCGCCTGAAAAAAAGAGAAGAAAGGGAAAAAAAATTGATGTAAATGAATATCAGCTCTTAAATCTAAATCACATGAAACAAAGACTAAATATGCTGCTCTTAGCATGCATACTGGCATATTCATCCCTAGTTAATCTTGACAAAAGCTTCTAGTAAAATAGGTCTGGAAAGAACCTCAAGCAGCATAAAATTGTGTTGGAATAGAACTTTTGAAGTTCTGGATTTCTCCTAGTCATCTTGACAAACAACTATCTTTATGTGAAAAAGTCCAAGTATTTCGACAAATATCAAATTGGGGGGGGGGGGGGGGATCTTCAAGCATGATAGTTATCAGGTTTTTCAATCTATAAGGGATTAAGTGTGAAATATCCATGTGTTAGGGAACCTGATAACAAACACCTAAAAGAACTTCATCTAATCATGTTCTCTTAAATATAACCCACAAGTTTAAAATTAGCATTGCGTAGTTCGTAAACTTAAACTACTTAAGCTTTACTGAACCGCCATAATTTGTTGCTGCTTTCCCATCATGTGTGTAAATTTTTTGGTTTGAGTCCTTGCCTGGACGAGGGTTCTCCTCAGGCTTAATTATGAGAAGGGTGACTAATTGTCCTTCCAGTTGATCTCTTCAATGTTTTCCTCCCGTGTGGCCCGACGTGTGCCAGCTTCAACAATGTATCTTCTTTCCTTTCCTGAAAAAGAAATTTACACAAAGTAAAATTTCTATGGTGTCTAAGATCAACATACGTATAGTGTTAGACTGTTAAAAACTGTATCATACCCAGTGGTGAGGCATAAGCCCCCATATTGATCCTCTGAATTCCCTACATTCAAACTAAAATTTAATACTTCAGAGGATTCTATCTTCTTGTGAGACCCATGCACAAATAGAGAGAAGACCTATTGAAGCAAAACCATATATTTCCAGTAACATAAAAATATTGACAAAGATCCAAACAAAAAGGTAGTAAGGAACTATAACAACATGAAGACATAACTATATGGTATTGAACCGATAGGCAAAACTCACTAAAGCTCTCTCAGCTCAAAACTCATAAATATTAGTTTATCAGAAAAGGGGTAGAGATAATCACTAACCAAGTAATTATGTATAGGAAACAAAAATAAGTACATCAAAACTAACGACTCTTGCTAAATTACTCCAGAATGTTTAATTTACAAATTACAATTGTGCCAAATAATATGATGGTTTTAAGTGACAAAATAATTAGTATCTTTATCTTCTCATCCTTCTTTACTATGACTATAGGATACAGGGCAGAGATTTAACACTGCAATGCTTAACTTGACAGCTGCAGTGTGAATACCTCTCCAGGATGACGAGTATTCAGAGCATGAACATCAAGCTTATAGTTATGCTGTGGAAGTAACTATGATTCATCAGAAGAGCGTGCCTCAATGTTCTGAACAACCAAAAGAGAACAATAGTAATTAGAAAAAATAAATGAATAAAGAAAATTGCTAGACACTAGACAGTATGAATTAACCAAATAAATGTCTAACAAACATCAGTGACACATTCAGCAAAACTTCTCCAACATGTTAACTCACGACATTTATCATGATAACCCTCACTAATTGATGGAAACTTAAGTATCATGAGATGCTTAAGTTCCACAGAGTATTCAATTGGATCGGTTCTCCTACCTTAACACCTTTCGAGTAGGGTTCCCTATCTCACTTGAGAGTACCCATCAATCGACATCAAAGGGAGTTGCCACATATTTGTTACAGAGAGAGAGAGAGATGCAAATAAAATGCAATGACACAGATGGAGACTAAGGCTGAGGTAAGGCGTGGAAGGAAAGGGTGGCATGTAACAATAGAGGTTAATGAAATATGCATAGAGAATAAGTATTCTTAGGGGAAAAAGCAATTCAGTTTGAATGGAGCACCATGATGATATTTGACAATGGGGCAAGTTCAAGGCCAAAAGAAATGGCACACTAGCCAAAATTAATCACACGTGTTTTATGTGCATGGGTTAATTGCTTTCTTACAACAAGATTTACAGGGTTTGAAGGAAAGAGGAGGCTAATGCACTGGCAATGTGCAATTTATGCAGTTTAATGATGTAATTGATTGGAGAGGAATTCTTGAGTCCTCAGTGATGTTTCTACGACTTTGAAGATGATCTTCATGTCATCAGTTTGATATTCTGCTTTTCTATAAGGGTGCTTGATAGAGTACCCAACGTGCAGTGAATTGGTGGAATTGAATTAATCTGATTTTATTTTATTTTAATGGGTTTAATAGTGGTTAGTTTAGTGCCGCAGCAAGTAGGGTTTGTTAGGATTATTTACTGAGTCAAAGTATTTTATTTTAAATGTTTTTATTAAACATGTTCAAGTCTGTATTTTCCCAAGTCATGTGTTAATGGGCATATATTTTAGGGAGTCATGGTTATTTTGTTGTCTATAAATATTGAGGCTCAATACATGTAAATCTCATCCACAAATATAATCAGTATTTGTTTTACGAGTAGAGATTCTTCCAAGGTTTTATCAGTTATGAGTTAAGATTCTTACTCATTCTAATGAAGATTTTCCTTCATCTTTATTAATTTGTGACATTAGGCTCTGATCTCATAATTTTATAATGATTTTTCTTCCTTATTTTGCTCTACCAAATTTGGATCCTATCAGTGCTACAACAGATTCACAAAGAGATTGGACTGCTTTGCAGCATAATGCATATTTAATTTGAAGTCCTACGCTTTACTGTTTGTCACTGTCTTTGAATTCCAATTTGGAGGATATCTTATCCTCTAATCGACTCAATGTTAATGAACCTAAGGAGTGCTTATGAGGGGAGAAAGAGAGACAATTGGGGTAGGAAGCCACCCCCAAAAGAGATAAAGAGCTGGAGGTAGGGTATTCCCTGTAACTAGTCACATGATGCGTGAGGGGGATGTTTTGACAAGGAGGGGCTGTTGAGGGTACTAAATTAGGCGTGGACTATGTGTTGGAAGGGCAGGAAGGAGGCTGCTTCTTAGTAAAGAGGCTGTAACCTCTTAAATGCTAAAGGTCTCTTCTATATTTTCTGCTATTTTCTCATCTCAGCACAGTGTTTTCACTGTAATCTGCCATATTCAATATTTCCATAGCCAATTCTCTGTTGTACTGAAGTATTGCAGTTCTGTTTCATTATAATACAAGGATTTGCCACAGTTCCATCCTCTGAATTTGTACTTCTTAATCAAATTTTATTCTATGATAAAAATGGACAGACCTCATTTTTTCTACTCCATTGTTCTGCACCAGGTCTACCGGCAAATGCATAGAATGAAAAATGCCGCAAATCCACAGTTTCAAAGTTCTCGGAATGCTGCAGAAGACAACAAATAGAGAAAAGTATCATATTTCTCCACATTGCATAGACAGAGACGTTATACCTACCTGATACGGGTTTTTAAGTAGAAAGAGAAATTCTTAATGAGCAAAACAGAAAAACACAAGAAAATATGTGATGAAATATGGGATTTATCGGTATTTTAGTATTTTTCATTATTAGAATTAGTTGTTAGTATTATTTTCATTTCATTATTATTCTAGTACAAGTAACTTCAGAGTCTGCATTAGATGAGACTAGCCTTGAATATTGAATGAGATTGCAATTACTTTTCTGTCAGGGTTTTCTCTCTTCTATTTCCTATTTTCTCTGGTCTCTTCCTTCCCTAATCCCGTCCCCGTTACTTCTTGTTGTTTTACATCAATAGGCAATAGATCCCCTGCTGTTAGTATGCCAACCTGATAATGAGAGAAAACTCGCACAGTTTTGCATGCTCAAGCCATATGTGTATACCTCCTTTTCAGTAGCACTTCCTTGAAGCTGATCTGCATATTTTGCTCCCATTCCCAATTCTTCAAGAGGATCCATATAATATCTGAAAGTGGCATAACAATCTGCTTAGAAAGCAATGGAAAGAAGTCATACTGAAAGTTAGATTCACTAACCGAGACAGTAAATTATAAACAAATGAAATGAAGATTGAAAGGCAATGCTAATTGGTTTATTTCTGACTCAAAATACCGAAATAAAGAAAGTTTGGTCAAAATGGAAAATAATCAAACGGTACCTAACTTTTCTGCAGGATTTTGTCTGAACTAGTTTGAATTTTGATTCCAAAACTAATCAGAAAAAAAAAAAGATTTTTCCGAGTGTGATTAGGGAACTCATAAGATATTAAAACCAGCTCCAGCGTGCATACCTGTCAGATTTTTGAAGTCTGGCTAAAGTGAAAACAGAAACTTGTGTAATTAAAAATTAGCAAGAAATCCACATTGGCATCATACTTGATCAACCGATTTTTTCAGGAAGTCCCTATCCAGCATCACTGTGAGTAAATAGCGTAAAATTAGCACGCAACAATAAACAGTTGTTAACTTCAGAAAAGATAAAACTTTTAACTCCGATACTTAATGTAAGACCTAGTTGACTAATTTAAATGGATAAAGAAAATTAATGTTAATTATTTGTAATAAATGGGTGTTGTCTTTTTTAGAATACTCTTGTTAATATATGTATTAGCTAAAACTATTATTTTATTAAATCTTTAACATGCACAACTACTACAAGGACTACTTTGAAAAAAATAAATAAATATAAAAGATAAAGTAAATTGGAATCTTATATTTATGATCAAATTAAAAGTCAAACTAACTCTTATATTAAGGACATGATGTAGTATCTTTGCTAATCAAGTATATTGGCTAGAACTACTATTATTACAAGAACTGTATTGAAAAAATAGAAAAATATGAGAGACAAAGTGGATTGAGATTTTATATTTAGGATCAAAATAAAAGTCAAACGAACTCTTATATTAAAAACCGGAAGAAGGATATAATAAGGGCACGTACATGGCAAATAAATATAATCTAAGTAAAAAAAAAAAGAAAAAGAAAAAAAGGACAATGAAATATGCATGTGGCTTCATTTCCATCCTCCCACCAACAATGACCAATCCTGTGTCCCCATGCTGCAGGGTATAATTGCATATAGAAATTGCGGACATTAAAGTATTAATTTTTTTCCTAACTAATTTTCTAATTAATTAAGCAAATTCTTCTCATGAGCAACTATTACTTGGGGGTAATTTGAACAACTTATGAGAAATAATTATTGTGGAATAACTTTCTTAAATTAGGCCAAAAAAAAAAAAGTAGAACTTATAGAGGCAAGGGGAGGGAGGAGTCATTGTGAGCGGTGTGCAGTGGTGGTGCTGGCGAGAGGTGAAGGACGTTGGTTGGCAAACTTGCAATGAAACAAATTTCATAGAAGCTGCTATTTAGACCAGCTGCTGGATTGGTCGGGGCATCGGCTTAAGCTTTGATGTTCTGAGGCCATCCTGTTTGAAGAGAAACGGTAAAATTAAACACATAATTTTAACAAGCCAATAAATAATTCAATGTGAACAAATACGTATTCATTTCAGGATGTGGAGGTCAGGGCGCGCCGGTTGACACGTGTAAAAGCCAGTGAGATTAGGAACGCAGTAAATGGGCTTCCGAGAAAGTTTTGGGTGCTGAGGCCCAAGCTTCTCATGGGGATCGCGGCCTCAACCCACCCAGGGCATTTTGGAAAACGCAAGCAAAGAGTATAACATTATTAAATTAAAATTCTTGACACTATTAAATTCAATTCTTGTTCACCAGCATTTTTCATCTATCCCTTACGTTTTAGGTGAGTCTATTCCTCGTATATTATATTTATATGAGAATGAAGACTAATTTTTGGCACAATTAAAACGTTATTTAATTTAGGGAATAAACTCAAGAAAAACAAAGATTAACTTTCTACTCCTCCGGTCCTTATTATAAGACCCAATTTGACTTTTTATTTGGTCCTAATTATAAGACCCAATCCATTTTCTCTCTTATATTTATGCATTTTTTTCCAAGATAATCCTTCTAATAATGATAGTTTTAGCCAATATACTTAATTAGCAAGAATATTTTAGGAATAACAACACTTATTTATTATAAATAACCAACTTAACTTACTTCCTTAATCTCCTCAAATAAGTCAATTGGGTCTTATAATTAGGACCGGAGGAGTATCTCACAAGTCTCTTGCCGCGCAAATATGTTGATATCATATTTGCACTAATAACTGGATACTCATGATCGTGTCAATTTTTAAAAAGGGACAGGAAATTATAATTTGAATAATCTCCATGTATAGGTTCAAACATATAGAGAAAGGATGACACGTAAGAATTAAATTGTCCCCTTATTTTCTCTCAATGCCCATCTCCATGCATGATCCTGAGCGTTGATTTGATGTAATGAATGAAGGAAAAATGATTATCTGGATCAAAATACTTCCAGGTTTTGTTCACATGAATTTCACGCCCATGAAATTACCCAGAAGAATCATAATACAAAAGAAAATGAGTGATAGTAAGCAGTGGCAAATTCTACAATGTCTTTATTATATTATGCTCTGGGATTGAATTGACGGCTCACAAGGAGGCCTATGGTAAAGCTCACATGTTATCAACATTTCCCTTCTAGTATTTATTATATGCGGATTTATATGATATAAAGTGTGCAGGCTGACACTCAATAAATACAGCTGAGAAAGGAGCGAGGGAGCTTAAAAAGCGGAGAATGGGAGGCAGTAGAAGGGGCAGATGCACGCACGGGATGACATGCAAGTATATATTGATGGAACGCAGATATGGATAGATACAGAGAATGGAGTATTATTAGACATAATAATGGAGAGGAGAGAATTGAGGAGAGAGTGGTTGAAGGTGAATTATTACTTATGGGGTGGATGTGACGCTGTGCCTAACGTAGCCGCCCCAATTATACACGAAAACTCCAGCCCCTCTGGTGTGTGTGCGTGTGCGCTGTACAGTAGTGTGTGAGGAGTGGTCATTAGAGGGGTCGAACAGTAAGGGGCAGCTTTCTGCTCATCTTGACGGTGGGGAAGTAGAGGATGTGGTCAGGGTGGGCATGCCAGGTGTAGGTGGTGACCAGATGGTGCAGAAATATGGACAGCTCCAGCCTCGACACTTCCAGCCCCGGGCACAGCCTCTGCCCTCCTCCGAACGGACTGTACCACCCCTTCTTGCTGTTCCCGCCGCTCCCTTCCATTCTCTGCTCCTATATAAAACACACACACACACGCTTCATCGCCACTTTAATTATAGTACATATATCATCTGGCAGCCTGCCTAGCTCTTGTTACTTACATACCTCCCATCTCCAGGGATTGAATTCCAAGGGCTTTTCATAGATCGTCCCGTCCATGTGAACCGACATTAGGGATGCCACCACACAATTCCCCTTTGGGATTATGTACCCTGATGAATTAATATCAACAATTCAACACCCACTTCACAGTTCACACACACACACTTGCCTTCAATTAACCTTGCTATATACATATATGTATGTACATGACTCACCTTTAATTTCTACATCTTTGGTTGCTCTTCTCCAGATGGCATTCACTATATTGGCCAGCCTCAGAGTTTCGCTAATCACCTTATTATGATGGGAATGGGATCCATTATTCATAGGCACAATCATTGAGTGCATATCGAAAAACATGCGTGTTTAACTCTAGAGAGAGACTCACATGCTGGGTGAATGGCAGCGACATGTAATCTGTCCACTCGTAATCATCACCGCCATCTGTCTTCTGCCTCTTTAGTTGCATGTTTTCCTCCTGCCAATCCACACAAGTCAGGGTGTGAAATGTGAATTCATTATTACTCCCAACTTGGATCGAAAAAGTACCGAAGGCAATGAATGATGAACAATAATGGATGGCATCGCAAATTGCCAAAACACATGTTGCGTAAATATGGGAATGTACTTCCTGTACTGACGCTGGAAATGAAGTGCACAGCATTTTCCAGCTTTCATTGTCGATTAAAGCGACTCGTGCGCCCACTAGTACCTCTCACCTCCTCTCTACTGTCACACCACTTCTTGTTTTTATGATTCACGGCCGCTTGTCTTCCAGTTTTTTTGCCACCACTCACTCAGAAACGAAAACAGCCAACAACTAGTCGGCAGCAAAATGACAGCAACAACTTACAACGCAAGCAGTGAAAAAAAAACAAGAAGAGAGAGAGAAGGGAACTTGAATATTAAAATAAGAACAAATGGACACCTCGACTCACTGGCAGATATCAAGGAATGGATTCATAGTGCATATAAAAATTATGAAAGGATCCATATGCATCAGTGCGGGCGTGCTTTTATATATAAAAGGGATAAAATTGTTTCGAACAAAACAAATAACGAGTTCTCGGTCAACTACATAAAATATAGAGGATGCGGCATATTAATTATTAGTTGATGGACGGTATCTAATATAGATTTCATTATGGATACCCTGACATAATGTGATTGATCTTCTTTTTTCTTTTTTTTTGGTTTGGGGGGCCAACAGCATAAGAATACTGGTAATAATTAATCGGAATTGGAAGAAAAGAAAAAGAAAAGGGGGGGGGGGGAATAGTAGGACAAGGGGTGAAGTTGATCGCATGGGCCTAAGTGTCAGCCGTTGAAGACAAAATCGTACGGGTAATAAGCACCCAAAGCCATACCTCTCCGGCCCCTTCACTCCCAATAAAAAGTCAAACACTTCATCCCATCCCTTCTGGGCCTGCCCTCCCGTCTCTTCCATATTCATCGTAAACCCGACAACGGAAAACCAACCCCCCGACAAAACAATTTCTTCGTTAAAAATAAACGTTTTCCTAAATCATTTTTATGGACTTCATTTGTAATCATAAAAATCTGATGATAGATGCAGCCGTCTTTATGCTTAGGGGTTATTATGTGCGGTGGGCGTAATTCAATACTCCCTCGTCGCTAATTATAAGGTTTTTTTTAATGGATTTTTTTTATAAGGTTTTTTTTGAATTTATCTAAACATTTAATGCATTGTTACTTATTTTATCTCTAATAAATTTCATATATTACATTCTTTCTCTATTTATCTTATTATTATTCTTTTACATTTATTAGGGGTATATTTTAAAAAAAATTTACCCATATTAATTACTTTTAATTAATTTTAACTGTTTTCTTAAAAACGACGAAATAGTAGTTGTCATGAAGATATTATTCATTGGGAAAAAAAAAAAAAAGAGGTGAAATGGAGGAGGAAGGAACGTACCCGCAAGGAGGAGAGTGCGCGAGGAGAGTCGGAGAGAAATTTGACGGCCATGGTCATAGCCGTTGGGAGGGTCTCCTCACCGGGGATCATCATCTCTATGATATTGCCGCTGATTGCTTCCACCGATAGCCCATTGTCCCCTAAGAGCACGTCCACCGCGTCTCTCGCTGCTCCCTTCTCCTCCGTCGCCGTCTTCCTCTCCTCCACTATCTTCCTCACCGTCTTCATCATTCTCTCCTTCGCCTGCATCCACGCCCCATGCCCACATGATTATTATTATTACTATCTCCGATTTTAATTATAAGTGTTAGTTGACAGGAGATTAAAAAAAAAGTTAAATTAGTTATTTATAATAAATAGATGTTTTATTTTTTAAAATATCTTTCCTAATCAAGTATATTATTTAAAACTAAAATTATTAGAAGGTCTATTTTAGAAAAAATTAAATAAATATAAGAAACAAAATATATTGAAATTTTATATTTAGAATCAAAATAAAATTCAAACAATATATTTATATTAAGGATGGGAGGAAGTATTATCATTATTTCTGTCAACACATCGTCATCATCACAGTACACCTTCCACACAATTTAATTACCTTCAAAGATTTATACAGTCTTGTTCCTGGGAACTTGATGGGCATGCATATCAAGCCTTTTATGAATTCTTCGAAGTCTCTCTTCAACGCCTCCAATTCTTCTCCCGGACCAATGCTCATCAGAACTCTCACCAGAATTGTAAAAGTAATCTGCCACCCACGTAAGTATCATTCAACTAATTAAATCTTCCCCTTCATTCGCGTAATCCTCATCATATATATAAATGTCATACTCTAAATAATATAGTTATTACGTTATTTATTTATAACCTATAGTAGCATATAATTTGCAATTAAAATGAGAGATGGGGAGCGAGAAATAATTAGAGAGAGAGAGAGACCTTTTTGACTTCATCTTGAACGTAAATGAATGGGTGGTGATTCCAAGAAGCTAAGCAGTGGGTGACAGAGCGTTGGATGTCAGCGGCGATTCGAGATTTGAGAAGAGGGGATCGGAGGAATCCAGCAATGAGGGAATGCAGCTTCCTGTGAAGGTTGCCATTCATCTGCAGAATGGAGTGTTGTCCCATCAGCTCCCTAATGGACTTGGGATACGCCGGCACGAACACGTTTCCCTGGTTCTGCAATATCATATTGTTCACCTCCGCGTCCGCCGACACTATCACCTCACTTCCCAATATGTTCGTCTTGAACACCCTCCCATACCTGCAATATATATATATATATAGTCACATGTATACACTATCACTTTATAGATATACACGCAAAGCTTCTCTCGGTCTCTCTCTATGAACGCCATCGTTAATTAATGCAAGAGCAAGACCAAACGAAAAGTGGCTCCTGTCACTGTGGTATATAGTCACAGTCTGCAGAAGCCACCAGAGTTGCCAAGCCTAAGGTCTGCCCGGCCACTGCACAAGCAGCCTTTTCTCTGCTTTTACTCCCTTCCCCCCTAACTGCAACAACCATGTACTCCCTATTTATTGAATCACGAGCCTGCTTGTTCAATGCTTCTAGCAAGCATATCATTGTTCGGATTAATGCTGCTATTTAATAATCTCCCTCTCCCTTTGATCATTTCAACTGCGTTTTGCCCTCCGAGGCCGGCCTTTATTTTATTAGTTACACCCACCACAAGTGATCATAATTATGGCAAATTCACTCCTGCCTAATAATAGCAGCATATTCCTATATTTCAATCAGAGCTGTAATTCTTTCGTGCTTTCCAAATTTATTTTGATTTTGTGAAGACTTTTTTCAAAATTTATAAAAATTAAGATTCATTCCCAGCTACACTATATGTTAATTTTAAAATACAGGTAAAAGACTAAGAACCCCAACCCATGCATGACTCGCCTGTTCGTTTTTTTATCCTACATATCCTTAGCCTAATAAATTAACGGAGTTGACTTCTGCAATTATTGACAAATGTTTTATCTTAAAAAAATAAAAAAAAAGAAGAGGAGGAAAGCAGGGCCTGCTTCCTGAGCAAGATGAACAAGCACATATATTATATATATCGTAAGTCCTTTTTAAAAAAGAAAGGATACGAAATCGAATATCATATGGTGAGATATGATGATAAAAAATGGACATAAAGTAAAGGACCACGAAGTTTGGTTGACATCGAAACATGCAGGTGCATATTGTCCAGGAAAAAATATGTGATAAATTGGTGGTCCAAAAACATGCAGGTGCGGCCTAATGTTTAGAGATAAAACGAAAGGGGAGAATTGTGGAGGAAAGGAAGTTGTGATGGGGTGACGGGGGATGAGTTACGGACCACGAGGACAAAAGTGCGCCGGAAATGTAAGACGGCCGAAAGAAAAGGGAGGAGGGAGGAAGCAGAATTGGGAAAAGAGGAGGAGTGAGGAATGACAAGGAAAGCGGCATGCAAATGAAAGGGGAAAGTAAAGAGAGGGAGGGAGGGAGAAGAACGTACAGGGAGGAGCGGCGGTCCATGAAGGAGAGGGGGCCGGAGGTGTAGGCGGAGGCGAGGAAATGGAGAGTCTCGCCGAGGAGAGGCCAGCCAGAGGTGCCGGGCGGAGACATGGTTGAGCGGGAGGCCTTGGGAGGCAGCCTGAGGAGGCAGAAGAGGAGCATGGCAGCAAACAGGGGAGGGATCAGCCATTGTATGGCGTAGGAGGGCAGGGTAAGGGTCCAAGAAAGCAGCATGATGTGCTGGGGATGGAAGAGGGAGAGGATGCAAATGTAGGCCTCAATGTCCCCACCCTCCTCCCCCCTATTTATTTCTCTCCCTCGTTTTCTCTCCTAATTACTATTCACCCTCCCCAGTTTTAACAAATCCAACTAATTCCCCATCGATCCCAACATCTTTTCGTTTCTTTCGTTTCTGTCCCCACAACCGCACTGTTTCCCTTTCTCAAGTTGAACATTCGGGATTTCGGGTTGGCCCAAATTTTGGGGCGAGGGGGGTTGGGATTGAAACATTCGGTTCATCCCTTAACCGTATCGAGTAGGGGGAAGCGTGGAAACCCAAAAAATATTCGTATCATTCTTTTTAAACTAGAGAGCACTTACTAACAACATGAAATCCCATGAACAGTTATATAACACGCTATTTCATTCTTTTTATTCACTTTCTTCATGTAAGTTCTATTATGAGTTTTTATGCTATAAATATATTTATTTTTAAAATTAAAAAATTCAAAGGAAATTAAAAAATAAAATGAGACATCACTGTCCCATCTCGGCTATATCCTGTTCCGAATAAAACATATGTTTCTGGAGATAAACCTTTTCACCATTTCATTGACATCATTAATTTAAGCCAAATAAATCCTGTTTGCCATTGTCGCATAAATACATCAAACTAAAAATTGGCCAAATCAACATCATGAATCACTCCTGGCTGCACACACCAGCAAACATTTCTTTTATGGGAAAATACAAATAAAAACTTTCTAATATGTAAAATTGTGATTTGGGACCTGGAATTTGAAAAATAGCAAATAAGGACCGGGTCTCACTTTTACAAATATGAAATGTGGGTGAAATGTCTGAGATACCTCTCAACCAAATTGTAATTTGGTCTACTGAAACTATCATTCGCTAAAATGAACTTGTCATTTTTCATAATCAACTCGTTATTTAGCATACCTTCAATCAAGTTATGATTTGATCTACTGAAATTGTCATTCGTTAAAGTGAACTTGTCATTTCCCATAGTTAACTTGTCATTTGGCTAAGAGGTATTTCAGGCATTTCACTACAATTTTATATTTGCAAAAGTGAGATCAGGTCCTTATTTGCTATTTTTCAAATTGAGAGTCCCAAATCACAATTTTATATATTGGAGAGCCTTTATTTGTAATTTTTCCTTCTTTTATTGCTCTACCTTCTTCTTTGCTTTGTATATTTGAAAAGCGAAAATTCTGTAACGAGATATTCCTTTATTTTTATATTCATTTTTCATGTTATCAACATATAATAGAATAAATAGGAAACATTTGACAGACTCGGATTTTATTTCAAAAGTTAAATTTAATTATTAGAGGCAGCAAAAACATAAAACACCTCTTTAAATGAGTACGTCTCTATATCTCATTCTCACACGTTACTTAATTTAGTTAAAACACACTATATGAATACATTACAATTTAACCTTTTTTTTTTTAAAGTGCTTCTCATACTATGTATATTACTAACTCTTGTGTTGAAATTTGAATTTTTTTTTTTTACCAGCGTGTTGAAATTTGAATTTACTTTTAAATATGAGATATCAATTTACTTTGTCTCATATCTTTTTCTAAAATATCCCTATAAAAAAATAATTTAGAAAGACCGATATACATTTATAACAAATAACCAATTTAATTAATTTTTTAATATATTTGAATTAATTATCTAATTCTTAATAAACCCGGGTGGTTCTACGTTTTAGGCCTGCCAAATCATAATCATAATTATTTTTAAATGTTGATGGATAAATGGAGCTAATATAAAATTAAAAGAGTATAGTGCCAACCAAAACACGGAGATGTGGCAAGAGATTTTTTTTTTTTGGTGAAAAAAATTTAAGTAAATTGAATCTGAGAACTCATCAAGACCAAGGCAATAAGGCAAGAGATTTAATGCAAAGAAGAAAAGTACTCCTTTTCCGGCGTTGAAAATAAGAAATAATTAAGGTTAACTAGTTGGTACTAGAAATTAAAAAAATTGGGTAAATTGATTGTTTGCGACCTCCTTTTCTTGAAGGTTAACTCTTTAAAAATAACATTTAAATAACTTAAATTTTATTTGGATCGTTAAATTTGTCAAATTTTTTATTAAGCTACATGACTTGAAGAGGAATTTTAAAATTTTATGGAATACTCATTAGAAACTAAAAGGGAAATTTAAATTAACATGTTTCATTTCGCAATTAACATGTTTTATATGTAAATTAACAGCTTCATGTCTCCATATTACATTTGCAGTAAGCTTTTGAATAAAAATTGATCGCAATACAACCTTAACAGTCAATGAGTTCAATAACAAGTTTTAGTTCTAAAATAACATATTTATATCTTTAAAATACACTTGAAATAAGTCTATAAATAAAACTTGTGATTACAATACAACCTTAAAAATTAACATGTTTCATTTCATAGTTAACACGTTTGATAACTGAATTCACAACTTTATATCTCCATAACACATTTACAATAAATCTGTAAAGAAAATTTGATCACAAAACAACTTTAAAAATTAACATGTTTTGTTTCTCAGGTAACATATTTAAATTTTAAATTAAAAATTTCCTGTCTCCGTAACACACTTATAGCAGATTTTTGAATAAAACTTGATCATAATACAATTTTAAAATTGATATGTTCCTTTTCATAATTAACATAATTCAATTCTAATGAAAACCTAAATGAGAAAAATCCCATTACCCACAATTCATACTAAGAAAAATGAAGAACTAAGATACCATGATGAAATTATTAGGATAAGGGAGGAGGATTTAATATAAAAACTAATATATTGTTGTCTCCTTGATCAATTTTTTGATTTTTCAATGGTAGATGCTAAGTTTTCCTCACTCTTCACAACGTGGGAATGATGAGATATCTTCATCTCTTTAGGTTTCTAATGAATGGGACATTAAGGATTATTTAATAAAATTTTAAATTTCTCTTTAGGTTATATAATTTGGTTAGGGTTTTAATAAATTCAACAACCCAAATTAAAATTTAAGTTATTTAAATGTCTTTTTAAAAAAATTTGTCTTTTTTAAAATATCTGTATTCAATGTGAAAGACAGGCGAAATGAAATTAATGAAAATATAAAATGAATGAGATAAACTGGATCAACCCCCGGTTATGAGTTAGGAGTAATTAATAAACCTAGGCGGCGAAATTAGCTAGGGATGGCCACCTTTTATTATCTCCCAGCAATCACGTGGTGCTTTACTGCTTGGACATCCAGGACACAAATCCTTGTACCAAGTCTTTTCTTTCTTTCTTTCCTTTTTCATTCTAAAAATATATATTGATTTTTTTGACTAAATAACAGGCATTTTTCCAGTAAAGACAATCATATTTGAGTGGATACTATATGTGGGTATATTTTTTAATAGGAATTTAAATCTCAGTTTGTTATGTTATAAAAGACTAATCCCTTCCGTTAGACTTAATATTAATTATATTATTCCTTTTCTTTCTAACTCTACATGAGCCAAAGCCAGAGACTAATACAAAATTGCCAAAAAAAAAATGTTTCCTTGTAAAAATAAAAATTGTACCTTCATTTGGAGCCTTTGACATTATTGATATACAGGCTGGTATGAAAATTAATGCAGGAAATTCAGACTCGAATTGTGACCCCAGAGGAAAATCAATATGACCCATTTTGCTTTTAAAAAATAAGAAAAAATATATTTATATCTTGACACATAGTTTTCTTAGAAAAATATGTGGTGTAAAAATTATATTATGAAAAAAAGTTATTGAATTTTATAAGTTATCCAGTCGACATCAAACATTAATTCAGGTATACATCATCGTTCATGTATATCAAGCATTTTCACCATCATTACGGAGTGGAACATATTTTCACAATCATTTTGGCATCTCAACCGATGTATGAAGTTATATCTACATTTTTCATAAGCAATAAAAAGCCTTCTCTATATCAACATATCACTTAGTTTATCCGTTCAATATATATGAATACATAGTATATTTTATATCAAGTCACAATATTTATGAGCCATAACTCATAACAATGATTGAATTTTTCAACCTTCATGTAGAATATAAGAAAATGTGCCTTATTCATTCAAATCATGCATGGTACTGGTGCATATTGATTCACCTTGTTAAATCATTTCATTAAAATTAGCTGCGAAAACTATTTTTTATTTATAGAATATACATATTCAAAATAGGTATACAAAAAAAATTTAATTTAAATTTACTTGAACATCCTTAGCTAACCCCCCATACATAAAAAGTACTCCTCCGGTCCTAAATATAATACCCTTATACTAGTGTGTATAAGGGTCTTATATTTAGAATTAGAGGAGTATATCAATTTCGGTGAAAATAAAGTTGTTTTTTTAAAAAAATATATTTGTGTGCATGTCTAAACGGGCGCATTATGTTCTTATCTTATCCATTTCAAACGTTCTGCCAACAATTTCCTGGTTTTACTATCTCATCTAATAAACTTTCCTTTGCCATCAATCTAAACCATGTTTTGTCCCATCATATACTTATAAAGTACGCTTACTATTAGCTATTATTGCTGTGAACTAAGGATACATGCGTCAAGTCATGCTAAATGTAAATGCCATATCTTCAATGCATTGTGATTAATATTACATTGTTGCTACAGTCTTTTTCAAAAGAATATTAACATTACTTACATAAAAATATAAAAAAAGTCATGTATATTCTACAGTACACACAGGCGTCATATATACACTAAATATTTGCTGTAAGGGTGATGAATATGCATGTGTGTGTTATATCCTTTACTGCTTATATTAAGTACGTATTCATGAAATTTATGCAAATATGGATATCCTCATGGCATGAGATTGTATATAATATAATTAGTCTCGATCTCAATATATTCCTCTGATTCTTAATATAAGATCTAATTATTAAGTTGATTTTGGTTCTAAATATAAGACTTATTTTTCACATTTATCAATTTTCTTTAAATTACCCCTATGGATACTCCCTCAACCATAATTAAGTAGAAGAAGGAGGGAGGATATTAATGAAGATGATTATGGTGTTTTAGGAAAAATATATTATATTTCTTATAATTAACTGACTTATCTAACTTCTTTAATCTAATCAAATTAGTTAAATAGGTCCTATATTAATGACCGGAGGAGTATAATACTCCTTTGGTCATTAATATAAGACCCAATTCTTGAGTTGGTTTTGGTCCTAAATATAAGACCCATTTCTCATATTTATCAATTTTCTCTAAATTACCCCTATAGATACTCCCTCAACCATAATTAAGTAAAAGAAAGAGGGGGTATTAAGAAAGATTATCATGGTGTTTTAGGAAAAATGTGTCAATTTTCTTATAATTAACTAACTTACCTTACTTCCTTAATCTAATCAAATTAGTTAAATGGGTCTTATATTAAGGACCGGAGGAGTATTATATTACCTCCAGTCCTTAGTATAAAAGTTAGTTGACTAATATGAATAAATTAATAAAATTAGTTAAATTAGTTATTTATAATAAATAGATTTTTTTCTAAAATATCTTTGCTAATTAAGTGTATTAGCTAGAACTACCTTGACTACAAGTGCTATCTTAAAAAAGGATAAATATAAGAGATAAAGTATATTGATATTTTATGTTTATGACTAAAATAAAGTTAAGGATTGGAGGTAATATTATATTATATACCATTGCAAAATTTACACTATATATGTATAATAAATACTCTATATCTATTAATATATTGAGCTATATATAATGTTATAACTGTTTAAATGCATGGGTATGAAACTGCAAGAACATCCGGCGGAACTTCCGGGGTGATAAATCCAGTTGATTAAAGAGACAAGAAGCAAAAAATGACTTTACGAGGCTTGCCAGACATACAAATATCCGCAGCAACGCTCACAGACGACGTCTAAGAATGAATGCCCCACGAGATTGTAAGATAATAATTTCTGGAATATCATTATGATTAACAGTAATTCTGATCAGAGGGTCAAAAAGGGCATACATAGAAACAAAGTGATAGAACATATATACTACATGATGAATGGCAATGAAAATATGCAACGAGACAAACAAATTAAAGTTGGGATTGCATCGCAGACAATTTAATGAGAGTTAGTGGCAACAACATAATTTGGGGCTTGGACGATTTAATGGAATTAGGTTGGGAAGTAGTCCCCATGAGTGCATGTGCAGATCAAAGAAAGGAAAAGGCAGAGGGTCGTGGTCGTGTTATATGAATGCAATGGACCATCCCTCCCACCACTTGTATTATTATTGCATTATTATTCATCATTCTCCAATCACTCTCTACTTATGTTGGGTCATTCTCCTGGGGTCTTTCATCATCACTTCCACTATGCCCCACTTAACATAATTCCTACATTCATAATTCTAACACCCTTCACCTGCACACTACTCTGTATATGATTTCATGCCTATGCTACCACATATATACACCCACCTTCATCATTTTGATTTCGATCATGATCACGGTGATGATGATGCCACCCACTTACTTTCTCATATACATATGACCCCCCCTCCCCTCTCCTTCCTTCTGGTTTCTTTGTCCCGAGTCTTGAGCTGCAGTGCTTGATATCTGTTCACAAGCTAGTCTCATGAGGAGAGCAAAGTGACCCCAGTTGAATTGGATCAAATTGGCCTACATGGACTGGCCGACCCAATATCCAACCCCGCCTGCACAAACTAGCCCAACACAACAATCATACTCCATGGACACGTGTTTTAAATCTTCACATTGGTCTCATGAGATTTTTTTTTTTTAATGGAAGCCGAAGCTTACATTAGACAACAAGGATTACAGGCAAAAGACAACCTGCTAAAACAAAGAGGTAAGAAAACCCCTTCAAAACAAAGCCTCCATCATCGCTTTCCATGTCATGGTTCAAAGATAGCTCGGGATCGAAGAAGCGATAATTGGCTATTAATATATGAGAATATCTAGCCAGCTGGTTACCACAAGCAAGTTGATCTCTAGATCAGTTCCGAGCTGCTACTGCCCAGTCCCTGTACAACCTGGACAAAAGGGGTCTAGCCTCCTCAACAAGTGTCATGAGATATTCAAAAGGAATTCTGTTAGTTATCGACGGTTCCAGTTTAATTAGGGGGACTTTCTTTCCTTGTTTTTTTTTTTTGGTTGGGGGCGGGGGACCTGGGGGGAGGGGCCTAAATATGGGAATGTATTTAAAAAAAAATTAACTTTTAGCTTAAGACTAGTAATTATTAACCAATTTCAAGTCAACCTGCCATTGAGTATGAAGTATTAAAAATAAGGTGTAGTAATGAGGATTAAAAGGCATGAGGGGTTATTTGTTATATGAGATTAGATAAACTTATGTATATATGATTGGAAATATCCAATCCCACATGCTAAATATTTTTTAATTATAATTTCAATTCTTATCTATTATTTTTAATGTTTCTTATCAAATCAGACCTAAAGGCCTAAACTAATGACTCAATGCATTCATTGAAGTGTGCCTTGCTATCTGGCAGAGAAATCACTGCTCCGGCCTTCGGCAAGAGGAGAAATCATCGCAAGTCGTGGTTTATACTTTATATTACTCCTTCGGTTTTTAATATAGGATCTAATTGTTGAGTTAGTTTTGATTTTAAAAATAAGACCTATTTCTCATATTTATCAGTTTTTTTCTAAATTACCCTTATGGATGCTTCCTCAATCATAATCAAGTAGAAGAGGAAGATGGGGTGTTAAGAAAGATGATTATGATTTTAGAAAAAATGTGTCACATTTCTTATAATTAACTAACTTACCTAACTTCTTTAATCTAATCAAATTAATTAAATAGATTTTATATTAAAAACCGGAAAAGTACTATATTGCGAAATTAAAGATGAAATAACTACTGGTACAGAACCTAAGCAGCCACTCGGATTTTATGTTAACATTTTTCTTCTCATGGAATTTTTTTGTTGGGAGCAAATTCCTTTAGGGGAAATTGTCCCTTTCAAAAAATGACAACCGAAAAGTTATAAATAAATAATTATAAATTATAAAATAAATTAGGGAAAATCCCAGAAAAAGCCCTTGGAATATACAAAATCCCATATTGGGTCTTAAATTTCGAAAATGACAGAATGGGTCATTAACCCAATCTGTCATTTGCGAAATTAAGACGAATTGACAATTTTGCCCCTGGCTAAACAAAGTGAGTAGTTATTCTCTAAACAAATCTAGGTAACGCTTATTACACTGTTCTAGTGATTACAAGATTAGTTGTAGTTAATAATAAGGTACCTGACAATAATAAGATACCTGACTATGCAAAATGAGTAGTTATTCTCTATACAAATCTAGGTAATGCTTGTATTGTTCTAGTGATTATAATATTAGTTGTAGTTAATAGCAAAACATCTGACTATAAAAAAGTGAGTAGTTATTCGCTACACGAATCTAAGTAACACCTAAACCCTTATAGTGATTCCTTAAATCATTGTAGTGAATGAATGTAAATGAGGGCAAAATTGTCAATTCGCCTTAATTTCACAAATGACAGATTGGGTCAATGACCCATTCTGTCATTTTCGAAATTTAAGGACCTAATATGACATTCTCATATTCCAAGGTCATTTTTTAGGATTTTCCCAATAAATTAGACGAATTTCTTACTTTTAAAAGAATGCTACTTTTATTTTATTTTCAAAATTTCCACGCAATCCATCCAGTTAATAAAAATATGGTAACCGTACACTTGTACTAAAATTTATTTTGGAAATATTTTTAAAAGATAGAGTGCTTAAATTTTAATTGGAAAGGTGACAACTCTACGACTTTTGACAATAATAATATATTATAAAATTGTCAAAACTCATAATAGAATTGTCACAAATCCTTATCTGTGTTTTTTAAATTCTAAAGTCTTTTTTTATGATTTCTCTATTTTAATTTTGAACAAATCGAATAATAAAAAATATAAATGGGCCGGTAAGGGTAAGATGTAACTGAGAAACGGTCGGCCGAAAAGAATGGTGGCCAGTGTACTTTTGTTCCTTTCGTATACCCATCGCTCTTCATTGCGCAATTACATTTCACCATTGCTTTCTCCTTTGAGTTAAATCTACCATCACAAGGCGCAAAAAATAATGACCAGTTCTTCTTCTGCTGTAGCTCGCAAGGTTAGCCCTAGATTCTTCAATTTCCTTTGCCCTCTTTTCCAATTTATCAATTGTTTTGTTTACCTTGTTCTATTTTGTCTCTCATCTTCAGGCTCTCAGTAAGATTGCCTGCAATAGGCTTCAGAAGGAACTCGTTGAGTGGCAGGTTAATCCTCCCGCTGGTTTCAAACGCAGAGTCACTGACAATCTCCAGCAGTATTCTTTGTTTTTTTTCCTTTCGTTTTGTTCATATGCATATACCCAATTTGTGTCTTTGTTAATTTGTAAGAATTGAATTTTTAAATTTCTGGCTGTTGGCTGTTGATTGAGTTTTCTGGTAGTCACCCGCTTGTGCGCGGGACCTCTTAGTCTAATTGATTAAGTGGGCGTTTTTGTTTCGTTCTGGCTTAATCTCGGTTTGGGCGATTCACCCACCCCGCTGCCCTTGCTTTTAATTTGGTTTATCGATTCAGTGCTTACCCGTCTCCCGATGTCATGTTAAATTGCTCTTATCATATTTGTTCTCGTAGGTGGGTTGTTGAAGTGACCGGAGCTCCTGGGACACTTTATGCTAATGAAACCTATCAACTTCAAGTTGACTTTCCCGAGCATTATCCTATGGAAGCTCCCCAGGTTGTGAGTCCCCCTTTGTAATGATGTCTGGTGTTCACTATTGCTGGGAATTGTGTCCTTTCAAATTTGGGGTAAATTGACCCAGTTAATTTCTCTAAATATTTGTTGATCAAGCTATAAAACTTCCATCCATGGTGAGTGTTGTGCCATGTCAACAACAGGGTATTATTCATCTTCACTTTGGGTTATTTCTCCGCGGAGGCTACTCAGTTGATCTCTACATGTAAGAAAGGGTAAAATAACAGAAGTGAGAGTATTTCATGTGGCCAAGATACTAACTATTGAAGTCTTAAAAAGTTCAGTTAACATCAATGCTGTATGAAAAGAACAGGAAGGAGAGAATTTATGACTTGTGTGAAGCCTGCTGATCAGGAATGGGATTAGAGTTCTATTCCAATGAAAGAAGCTTCTCAAAAGCACATATGGGAGATAAGTTGGAGATTTCATGCGCATAGTTGAACAATGAGATGGAATATGTATTAATGCATAATCATTTGATTTCCGTTAACCAGCACCCTTTCTTTCTTTTCCACTAGAATTATACGGATACTGAAGCAGAAAGTTTATTTTTCAAAAGAAATTGCTGTCCCTTTACATATCCCGCATTGGGAATATCGCCTATCACAGTCAGTGACTTGCTTTCCAGTTAATAGGGGAAATTCTGTAGTTTGGAAGGCCAGTCACTGAATCTTCTGAGAAGATGCAAATGTGAAGGTGAATAAATCAATGAGTACAGATATCCTTATATTCTGACATGACGTGACATTCACCATGGATGGGAGATTTGTTAGATTTTATGGTGGAGATCTAGGGAAATCTATTCCGTCAATTTATCCCAAAATTGAGAGGATCCAGTTCCTTGATAGTCGATACTGTTCTATTCTGACTTTTCTTATATGCGTTTAACAGGTCATTTTTTTGCATCCAGCTCCATTGCATCCCCATATATACAGCAATGGGCATATTTGTCTAGGTACGCGTTTGAGTAGAGGTTTTGATACTATTTTTACTAGATCTTATTTACTTTGTGTCATGGTCAACCGTTGTTTGATGCAATATTTTTTAGGGGTTGGGTTTGTCATAACCCATGTTTTGTTTTTGTTATAGCAGTCTTTCGTTGGATGGGTTTGGGACGTCTAGTTTCGTTCATGATGTTTACATTGATTTCTTGTTATTCCTGCTTTTATTGACTATTTCTTTGGATCTTGTTAATTACTTTGGTGATTTCTTTGTTATGATGAGATACACGATTATCATTGCTTACTCTTACTAAGATTTTCTCTATTATTTTCTAGCCTGCATTTCTTCTGCACTTTTTCTGTGGGCTTTTACTGACTTGAGTTTATTATCTTGTTTACACATTTTAGTTTTTTTCCCATTCATTATGATAAGTAACTTTGTGTGTTATTAATGCAAAACGGTCAAACCTTTCCATAAAATGTATAGGGAAAGCCCCATTCCAGATTCCTATACTTTATGTTTTATTTTTAGTACCTGCAGTTTATTTTCGCTGTTTTCCATTTCTTTTATTTGCTCTGTTGGACACATTGGCCTTTTTAAGCTTGAAAATACTCAAAATGACGATGAGCTAACCCAAACAATGCTAATTTTGTTGAGGCGGATTTAATGCTATTAAACCTAATCAAAGTATTTGCATCCCTAGGCGTTTGCATGGTAGTAATAGCCACAAAACCCATTTGCATCTAACAAACCTGCGGCAAAAATTTTGATCTGTTCTTGAATTGAGCACTTTTTTCTTGGTTGTCATGTTTTTTCCTAATCATTTGATGCATTTAACGGTGTTAAGTCTATTCAGCAAAATTAATACTGTTTGTGCCTGCTCATTACCTTCTGAGTATTTTCCAAGCTAAAAGAACTGATGTTTCAGATTGATCAAATAAAAGGGATGGAAAACCATGAAAATAAACTTCATGGACCAAAAACAAAACAGGATCAAAGTATAGGGATTTGAGTGGTATTTTCCCATATGTGTGTGTGTGTGTGTGTGTAAATTTTAGACTTGGAGATATTGGTCATATGGTTGGTTATGCAAATGTCTCTTCTCTTCTCTGTGGGTGTGGCTGGTTCTTCAAATGCTTAGTGGTTTTGTTGAGAGTTTGCTGATTCTGAATGGGGAAGGAAGTTAGGAATGAATTCTTTTTCTCAATCAACTTAAAGATTACTGAGGATCTGGTTCAGTTAGTCTAATATACGAAGGTGGCAGCATATTGGCATATCCTTAACGTCATATTCAAAAATCAAATTACTTTCTCTTTCTGTGTTGGGGGAGAGCATTAGTTTTTATCAAACCTCCTGACTTCTTCAGTTTGGCAATGAATGTGAAGTTTATATTTCATCTCTCCTTTGGGGAATTAATGTTTGAAGACCTGCACCTTCACATCATTCTCATTTTTATACTTAATTTATAACCATCCCATGCCGTGATGGACTCTTGCCAATTCTGGTCATTCGTACTTATAGGCTGCCAAAAGGAAGCAAGATTTACTTGCTAGCTTTCCTTGACAGTGGTGAGCTGACACTTAATAAACTTGATGAACTTACGCAGATATATTGTATGATTCGTGGTCCCCAGCAATGACAGTTAGTTCTATATGCATCAGTATTCTCTCAATGCTTTCAAGCTCAACTATGAAGGTGTGAATTTATTGATAGCGAATATTCTCTCTCCTAGTATTCATTTCAACGGTAGTTGTACATACACATGCTTCAGATGTAGCTGGACGCTGATTCCACAAAAGGCACATCAATATACTACCTTTGGTCCTTAATCTAGTTTGACATTTAATTTGGTACTAAATATAAGATTTTTAATCCACTTTGTCTATAATATTTGTCTATTTTTTTCCAAGTTAGTTCTCGTAGTAGTTGCAGGTTTGATCAAATGGTAATTTTGACTAATACACATGATTAGAAAAAGTATTTTAGGAAAAAACATCATCTATTTATTATAAGTAACTAATTTGAATAATCTTCTTAATCTATTCAAATTAGTCAACTAGTTCTTGTGTTAAAGATCAGGTAGTATTTGCTTCAATCAGGTTTTGACCAAAGTCTAACTTAAAAATATGGCCAAAAAAAACAAAGTCTAACCTAAAAAAGCGGTTGGAAATCTCCATACAAGAGATTGCGTGCTTGAAAAAAGACCAGGTAGTATTTGATATTCCCTTATCTAAAGATTTGCATATTACCCTGAAGAATGATTCTAACTCCATCTCTTGTGCAGCAACGTCCTGAAGATAATGACCGCTATGTAAAGAACTGCGGAAATGGCAGATCTCCTAAGGAGACAAGGTGGTGGTTCCATGATGATAAAGTATAATAACTGGTTTTCCTTAATAATTTTACAGTATAGGCTATCCATTTGGAAGAAAAATGAAGACAAGGAGATGGCATTCTGAAAATCGGGGATCTAGGTTTAATGCATAACTATTCTGTAAATTGGCATTTCCTGGTAGTTGTAAATTAAGAGTAAACAGAATCTCAAGGAACCTGAAGGAGGAAACAAACTTGAAAAGTTGTAGTTATGATATGAGGTCGTTGGATTTGGATATAGATACTTGACTACCTCCCAAGATCGACAATTGATTATGATCAGTGCTTTTGATTCTTATGATTTCGTGTGTTCTGCTAATTGCTAATTTTGTCCGACATATATTGAAGAACTGTCTAGTTTTTCTTAAACCTTTGGCGTTTTCTTTCGAGGATTTTAGGAAGAATTTCATTCTACTCTTCGGAAAGCAATTTAATTTCAAACAGCTCTTATAAGATTCTGAAATATCATTTCAGCTTTTTTGGCCAAAAAAAAATTAAGTGTTATGGGTGAAAATATAATTACGCTCGTCTATTATTTTATTTATATTCTTATCAACCTAGCTGGGGCTCCGGTATTGAACGGTCTGGGTGGTTGGAGCTGAGAAATTTTTTTAAAAAATAAGGCAGCCCCGGGGGGGGGGGGATTTGAACCTGTGGTACCCCTTGGTACACTAGAAAGATTGTAACCACTAAATCATTTAATCTCTTTAATTATATGATGCTAACAAAAATATATATAATTCAGATAAAAAAAAACAAAAATATATAATAATACAAATGTAAGCGTGATATGCATGAATAATTGAAATAATGTGATTCACAATGCATATTAAGCGGTTTATAAGAGATATAGGGGAATTTACAACTCCATTTGAGATTCAATGGAAAGAACAATTAAATGTTAAGGATTATTAAATGTCAAGGATTGCATGAACAATTGAAGTAAAACAATTTACAACACAAATTAGACAATTTATAAGAGATACACTGGAATTCACAAATTCATTTGAGATTTTGTGGAGAAAAAATTGAATATTATAAACAACCAAAATAAAGTGATTTACAACACAAATTAAACAATTTACAAGAAAAATACTAGAATTCACAATTCTATTTGATGTTTTATGCAAAGAAAAATTAAATGTCATGAGCAACTAACATAAAACAATTTACAACACAAATTAGGTAATTTTCAAGAGGCATACGGAAATTTACAATTCCATTTAAGGTTCATTGGAGAGAAAAATAAAATGTCAATGGCCGTGAATTTTTGTATACATCTTGCAAATTACCTAATTTGTATTATGAATCGCTTTATTTTAGTTGTTCATATGCAACCCTTAATATGTAATTTTTCTTTCCACTGAATTTCAAATAAAGTTGTAAATTCTCGTATATCTTTTAGAAATCACTTAATTTGTGTTGTAAATTGTCTTACTTCAATTGTTCATGGAAACATTTGATTTTTCTTTCTATTGAACCTTAAATGGAGTTGTGAATTTCCGTATACTTCTTATAAATCTTCTAATATGTGTTATGAATCGTCTTATTTCAGTTGTTTATATATATTTGGATACTTATATTTATTTTGTTATATATATATATATATTGCGTTGCATCATGTACTAAATATATTGGATGGTTTGGTGGTTATAATTTTTTTTTGGTGTGCTATGGGATAGTGGGTTCAAACACCCTCTTAGCTATCTTATTTTTAAAAAAATTCTCCACCCACAGGAGGGTCAGGGGTTGGCTGCCAAAGGTTGATATTTTTTTTATAAATAAAAAATACAAGAACATAATTATATTTTCACTCATACTCCTCCGATTCTAAATATAAGACCCTTAAATACGTTAGTATAAGGGTTTTATATTTAGGACCGGAGAAGTAATATTTAATTTCGTTTTGGTTAAAAAAAAAAAGCTGAAATGATACTTGGGGATCTTATGGGACTATTGGGCTTGAACCGTTTGGGAAGGCTGGTTCCAAAAAAAAAAAAAAGAATCGTCTGGGAGGGGTTAGACTGAAATTCTCCCAAGATTTTATATCATGACGTTGGATTTTATCATGCGCCCATGTTGCGCCAATTTCACATGGGAAGGCCTCAAGTCCAACTATTTTCCAAGAATGTCTGACTTCTATCTGGCATTAGCGTCATAAAGGCCATCAAAGAATGAAGCGATTTGACGAGTTAAAAATAAAAATGCGTATTATAATTGAACCATGCTGATGCCAAAAAAGAAAACCTTTCCAGAAAATTGACGGTGACAAGTTTGAAAAACCCCCGCCCCAATATTTTACCCTACGAGTGTGACTTACCATGACATTAATATTCTACCCACTGTACTTTGTAGGGTGAGGAGCCCCTGAGGATGGCGTCAAATCCAGCGAGGCCTAAGCCTAGGCACAGAAAATAGGGAAACTTGTTTCGTTCGGCCGATGAAAGTGGGGAAACTTGTTCCTCATGTTTATCCAATATCATGTACGTTCATTGCTTCATTATCTCACATCTCTGAATCATCGTTCTTCACGACTTCAGAAGACAACAACAAGTCCTAAATGCGATTTTTTAAAAGAGAGAAAGATCCATAATATAAGGAGTCTTTACTCGTTGCCCTTAGAAAAAAGAAGGTGAAAAATGGCAACCGGAAGGAGCGGTTGTGGAGGTTTCGTTCGAGATACACATGACAGATGGGTTTGTGGATTCAGCTGTAAACTGACTGTGGTTCTGTCGACAATTACAGAATTGATTGGATTTATACACAGCTTCAATTTGTGTTAGGCCAAGGGGTTTAGGAAAATCAATTTAAATCTCTGTATTGAGGCGATTAATCTTGGCCTTAAAAGTTGTGATATTGACTAACTTTTCAAGGATGTGGTGGATGAGGCTGGATTGGCAAGTTAACCTTACTCATGTATACAGAAATAAACTAACTATTATTGATAGGTTAGTTAAATTGGCTCATAAGATGGATGAGAATTTCTTGCTCTTTGATCAACCTCCTTTCCTTGATCAGGAGGCGGACGTTGATGAAGAATAGGTTTTTTTTTTTTTGGTACTCATTTTTGTTGTTAGTTTAGTGAAGTTTTCAGGTCTTGTTCAAAAAAATAAAAAAGGCTAAAAAAAAGCTTGAATGAGGCTGGAAAGAAAGCGAAATTCACCACAGCTTTTCGACTAGTCAGAAGACTCACTTGCCTTCGTCTGTCTGTGGGAGAAAGGTGGCATGGGACCTATTCCTCTTTCCTCTGCAGCAAACAAAACAAACAACATTAATGTCTTCGAACTTCCTCCTTCACCTCGTGGAATTATATTTCTGAGTACTGGTTCTACTCAGGCCAAAAAAAAAGTACCGGTTCTGCATATTGTCATGACACTGTTACTACCTGGGGAACCAACCTCCCTTCCTCCTCTTTTTTTTTTTTTTGTGTGATTCTAATCTCAAAGGCAAATGTATCTGAATCATTTATAAACAGTATTGAATTTAAATCTCTTGATCACTGAACTACTAAAAGAAATTATCGTAGTTTGATTATGGGCTCGTCGTGCAAAGCAACAAAGGTTTGAGGTCTGGGATGCTTTTCTGAAATGGGAATAGTGTTCAATCCCTTTTTAGCACATTAAAATGCGCAATTTCGAAAAATAGGAAAGGCCCACCTTTCTTTGTACGGTAGCTTCTTAATTGTTTGACAGAAAAAAGACATTTCTTCAAATGGTTTGTCCTTTCTTTTCTATCTATGTTGATGAGATCAATTCTTGGATCATTAAGCTTCAAACTCGATGATGTTTTGTGGTTGGTCTAATCCACCAGGGGATTTCCGTAATGGGCTTTGTTATATGGATTGAATAACGATAAACAAATTTAAAGGCCGATAAGCAAGCCGGACGGAGTTTGTTTACACACATGAAGATGAATGAATATCTTAAGGAAATGATTGATGTTATTTCGGAAATGATTGATGTTATTTCATCATTTGCTTTATACACTCTTTCACCAATTTAGCATTATTCGCAGTTACACTCCAACCTAGCTTTTTCAGTTTCCCTTTAGCTTTCCCGGTTTAGAAAGTCTCTTCACTGTTCACTCCTCACTCTTCTCCCATGCCTCTGCTTTATGTTCTTTTCCCTGCAAAGCTCTCACCTCTTCTATATATTCGAACAATGTCTTAATGCCCTTCATATTTTTGTTGGGGAAGGAAGAAAGAGATAGAGTGGTGAAAAATGGGTCGGGGAAAGATTGAGATCAAGTTGATCGAGAATGCCACCAACAGGCAGGTCACCTACTCCAAACGGCGCAATGGCATTTTCAAGAAAGCTCATGAACTCAGTGTTCTCTGTGATGCTAAGGTTTCCCTCATCATGTTCTCCAAAAACAATAAGATGCATGAATACACCACTCCTGGCCTAACGTCCGTACAATTCGATTTCTCCCTCACTCTATCTCTCCCTTTTCATTTGTATTTTCTGGTTTTCTAACATCTGTTGTGAGCAGGACAAAGAATATAATAGATCAGTACCAGAGGACTTTGGGGAATATCGATCTCTGGAGTGCCCAATATGAGGTTGGTTGGACATTCCTCTTCTACGTGATACTTAACAATTGCGTTCGGTGTTTTCCTGGTTAGTTCTTATAGGTTCTGCATGTTTGGCAGAGGATGCTCGAAAACATGAAGAAGCTGAAAGAGACTAACAATAAACTCAGAAGACAGATAAGGTAAATAGATCTCAGGAATGTGTTCGTGTGCTTTTTATACTGCAAAGCTGATTTGAAGCTGTGATTTTTCAAGGCAGAGGATGGGTGAGGATTTAAATGATCTGGACTTCCAACAACTACGCAGTCTTGAGGAGGATATGGTTTCTGCCTCCGGGATCATACGTGAACGAAAGGTTATCTCTTTTGAAGTACAAGATATTAAAGACTCAATTTTAATTCCCCCCCCCCCCCGGGGTACCTGCTTCAGTTTAATCTGCAGATCTGAAAGCATTTCCGGGCTGATGATTCTTTTCCCCTTAATCCCGTACTTAACCATTGCTCTAAGAACCATCAGTGTCTCCCATTTGGTTTCCGAATAAGTTAAAGAATAGAAATTGAATTTTCTTGAGGAACGAACGATTGCTGTTTACACTAATGCGCTAGTTTCGTGTACATTTCCACAGCTTCATGTAATCAAAACTCGGACAAGTACCAGTAAGAAAAGGGTCAGAATTTTGTTTTTTAAATCACACTTTCTCACACACACACAAAACACACATAAGATAATTCTGATGAGAAACCATTTCTTTTGGGTGTTAACATGAAGGTCAAAAGCATGAAGCAGATGAACGAGAATCTGCTGCTTGAACTTGTAAGAACTTGTGTTTTACAGATTGTAAGGAAAGAGTGTAAGCTTGAAAGAGCTTGTTCTCATTGTTGTTTAATGGAATGAGTGTAGGAAAAGTGTGTGATCCATTCACAATATCTGGTGCCCGAGGAAGGAGACCAGGAATCATCAGCAGTTACGGTGGCCACTGGTGTCTCTAACTTCCATGGATTGTGCCACCAGCAGCACCCTACCCATATGAATCTTCACCATAATGGAATGGGATTGAGATCTGACGATCTGCGCCTTGCTTGAAATGTATCGTGTTTGCGTCGGCCCTGTAAATTTATCATTTACCACCTCTTATTTTAGCTTTCGTATCCTTTAGAAAACACTGTAATCTGACTACTCTGCATTAATGCTTTGGAGCTTGTTTTGCTTTCTTTCTTACATTAACTGTTTAGCGAGTCTTCGGATGTCATTCGAGGTTGTGGCTTGGCTTCTACAGTTTAGGAATTGTGCTATGAAAAGTTTCTGTTTGAAAATTTTATTGATTACAAGGACTTGAATTTAAGAATTGGTACTTTGTGTATAAAACCCCACATTAAGTTCTTCCCACCAGTAAAATTTTAAAACACAAACTTTTAGCCGATTTCCCCTTGTTTCCATTCTTATTTGGTTTTGATGAGGGTTTGAAGGATTTACTTGTGAAGATTTAGGAGGAGGTGGATACTCCGTAGATCTTATTTTGTTCAAGTTGATTATGTTAATTTTTGAATGTTATTGGAGCAAGTTCTAGGAAAAGATCCAATTTTTAGAAAGTTCATATACATTTCATACGAATCAATGAAACAAAAGCATTTGTCAGAAAGTTCTGTATTGTAACCACATATGATTGAGAAAGGTGGTTGGTTGAGAATCAGCAAACACCAGAAAGTCTTGTTCTGCAAAAAAAACGAAAAAACAAACGGAAATGGAAGGGCCATCCGACTCAGGTGTTTGCCAAAACTTGAAGTTTGTTAGCTCTTTGCTCTTACGCTTTCTTCCCCTTCTTAAAACCGATACTTTCTCATAGGTTGCAGAATTGTATTAACCTTTTGAGAAATATAACACGTGAATTCATCAAAATACGACAATTAAATTTGTAAGATCCTGCAATAAATACCCATAGGGCATTCCACCATTTAAAAAAAAAAAAAGGAAAAAAACAAGGATAAGCACCGTGGCTTTCAAATCGCCCTTGTTTATAAAGACCCACATCAGTAAACACAAATTGGCCCACTAGCAACCAAAACTAGCAATCCTTTAACGTTGGGCCTCCTTGCCCATGCCAAGAGATGACCCACCTCCTCCGGGGCCAGGCATCCGATGCTCTCGTCTTCCGCTTGTCGGGATGATTTTGACCGTTCACCATTCAAATACTTGTTTATTTATTACAAGTAGTTTTAATTTTTAATTATATTATATGTCGATAACTCTCATAGATTTATCGTAATAAGGATTATATGGAATTATTTTGTTATGCCAATATAAGATATTGAATAAGCGAAATGCATTTGTGTTGCATGTCATTCTAATATTACCTCAAGTGCTAATTATAAGACTTTGTTTGTAGTATATAAACAGAGTTTTATAATTAAGACAGGAGGAGGTAGTATACAGAATTGAATCAATGTTGTCATATATATATATATATAGTTTTGTTATTTGTATAAGTCAGGATGCTGCAGCTATTAATTATGAACCTGATATTGTTGTGTAATGCGCACATGCATGCGTCTGAATTTAGACGTCGATCCCAATGGCAATTCAGGAGCGAAGAAGCATATAACCGTTAGTAAAAATAAAAATAAGAAAAGGACATCCATCCATCCATTACAAACCAAAAAATAGTCACAGGATCCATTCCTTCACTCAGTCTATATAATGTCCGAGATATGCTTCCCTCAGCACCCAACACCATCCATAAGACCAAAACCCTTCTAACCCTGACATAAAAAAAAAAAAGAACCCGTGAACTGAACTGAGCTGCACCCGCCCCCTCCCCCCCAAAAAAAAAAAAATCTCTGACTCCGTTCCTCAAAAGTTATCAACTTTTCTCCTTCACTCCATCCAGTGCCTGCTTCCCACTTTACTCTTACTTTCTTTTCTCACTCTCATACTGTCCGTCTTACATTACCCTCCCCCATGGGTTGCCTCACTTCTCCTCTGTTTCCTCTGGTTTTGGCTATTTCAGCTTCCTGGTTGCTTTCTCCGGCGGAATCAGCGACATATTGGGGTGATATAGAGGCTCTGAAGCAGCTCAAGAACGGCCTTCAGAATGCTTCCGTGAATCCAGGTTCGTGTGTTAGTTCTTGGGACTTCTCTGTCGACCCATGCGACGGCCTCTTCAGCGAAACATTCACCTGCGGCTTCCGATGCGACGTTGTCGTCTCCGGGTCGAGTCGGGTCACCGAAATCACTCTCGACCAGGCGGGTTACGCCGGCTCACTCGCGTCCTCGTCTTGGAACCTTCCTTATTTAGAAACTCTCGATGCGTCCAACAACTACCTTTCCGGCGGCATTCCCGACTCCTTCTCCAACTTGACTCGTCTTCGCCGGCTCGCTCTGTCCGGGAATTTATTGGACGGTGAGATTCCCTCTTCCATTGGGTTCCTCTCGAATCTGGAAGAGCTTTACCTTGATAACAATAATCTTCAAGGGACAATCCCTTCTAGCTTTAACGGTCTGAAGAGCTTGAAAAGGCTCGAACTTCAGCTCAACAGTCTCGAGGGTGAGATTCCTGATCTTGGTTCTCTCGAGAACCTCTACTATCTTGACATCAGCGACAACGCCGTCGCCGGCGGAATTCCGGCGACGTTGCCCAAATCCTTAGTTCAAATCTCAATGAGGAACAATAGCTTGAGCGGAGGTTTAAGATCGGAAAGCTTCAGAGGGTTGATGGATTTGCAGGTTTTGGATTTGAGTTATAACGGTCTGAAGGACTCTGTGCCCATGGTTCTATTTGAGCTGCCTTCGCTGGAGCAACTGACGCTGTCGTTCAACAAATTCTCGTCCATGGAAGCGCCATCTTACAATGCGGGATCGCAGAGTGGGCTAATAGCGGTTGATCTGAGCAACAACCAGATTCAAGGGCTGCTGCCGTGGTTCATGGGAGTGATGCCGAAGCTGGCGTCACTGGCGTTAGAGAACAATAAGTTTACGGGAATGATACCGACGCAGTACGCATTGAAGACGGTGTTTCCGGAGGTGGGAATATCGCCGTTCGGGAGGCTAATATTGAGCGGCAATTACCTCATCGGGGGCATACCCAGCCCCTTGCTGGCGCTCAAGCAGGGTTCTGCAAATGTGACGTTGGGGGACAACTGTTTGTTTAGATGCCCGCTGAGGTTCTTTTTCTGCGACCAACAAAAATCATTGGACGTATGCAACAGATTTAGTCCCTTCATCCCTTAGATGGCGATGATGATTTTGATTGATTTCATTTGTTTGTTCTGATACATGTGCCTGTAATTAGAGTGGAAAGAGGAATGATCGGAGATGTTGATGTTAATGTCGATCAAGAGATGAGGGTTGAGACTTGAGAGCATGTGGAGATCCTCCTAATCTTAATCCGATCAAGCCATCAATATCGTACGATAACTGCCAACTTCATTTGACCTTTGCCATTCGCCGTCCAGCATCTCCCACAATCATTTTGGGTTTATTTTCATTTTCCTTTTTATTTCTCCGGCAATTATTTACGACGCGAGTTTGCTAGCGCTCAAGGATTTGCGCCCTCAGTTAATGACAGTGCCCCTGCTTGCTTATGACCAAATCCTGATTATGATGGCTACATTTTTGTTTCTTTTTTTGGGCCAGAGACTTGGATGGCTATCCTGGTCAACCCAAAACATGAAATTCGTTCGGTAAGTGTCGTTATGCCTTGTTATTTTTGTTATTTATTACTGCTTCTTTTACAACCGCATCTTCCTGTACTTAATATAAAATGTTATTTAATTTTTATTTTAATGTTAAATATAAGATTTCAACTCATTTTATTTTTTATATTTATTTATTTATTTTAAGATAACTCTTCTAGTAATGATAGTTCTAGTCAATTAACTTGATTAGTAAAGATATTTTTAAAAAAACAATACCTATTTATTACAAATAATTAACTTAATTAGTTTTTTTTTTTAATATACTCAAATTAATCGGCTGGTTTTTATATTTAGGATTGGAGGTAGTATTATGCAACCTGGCTTGTATATTAATCTATTTCTGAAAGTGAAGTCCAATTCCTGCTCCTCCTTTTTATTTGGGTTTGATAAAAGAAATTTAACAAGTATACTGTTTACTAAGCTTCCCAGCTGTTGCTTCTTCAAAAAGGACCTAAACAGCTATACGCATGGATAAAAAATTATTGAAAATCAATAAAGCCCGGGAAAATGGATAAGATCTTGGAATAAGGAGGCAGGGTGGATGGGGACACTTGTAATTTAGTTAAACCTGAACCATGACATGAAGGAACCGATTCTGATGTCAAAATCAATCCTTTGAAAAACAAACTGACTTTGCGTATCAGTGCTACAACAACATGATGATCTTTTATGATACTCTACTCCACTGGGCTGACGTTACAAAGAAGTAACCCCTCACTATTATGCAATCAACCAAAAGGCCAACCCGGATGATTAATTGTACCTACACTTTGAATCTGCTCATTACCCTCATCATCATAATTAAACATCAAGCTTGTGATCTGTCCAATGAAGCTTGTAAAATTCAAAAATTCTAACCCCGCTTGCGTTTTTCAAATCAGGTTTAGGGGGTGTTTGGCTCTCTCTCCAAACCATGGTTTGGATCTCCAAACCATGGTTTGGAGAAAAATTTGCCAAACACCCATCAAAAATTTGAAACCATGGTTTTGGGGGAAACCATGGTGTTTGCCCCCCAAAACCTTGGTTTCGAAGAAGGGACGGGAGCTGCTTCTAGGCTGATTATTGACTGCTGGTGGGCCCCGCAAATATCAATTGTTTCCTTCCTCTTTTGCTCTACGAGGCTCCATGTTACAGCTTTCACTGGTGGTGCTTTGCAAAATATATTACTCGGTGTCCGCGGATCCTACTTCCACAAACATATGTTTTGTTAATCATATTTTCTGAAATAATTTATCATATTTTTTGTTGGCAAAGTAAATTATTTTACAAAAAACATATTTACTTATTTTATTAATATATATACGTTTTAATTTTTTTTATTTTTTTTATTTATGTCTTATTTATTATGTTGCCAAAATATATATTATTAACAAATTTATTACTTCAAATAAGCATATATTATGAAATATATCTTATATGTAATTATCATTTAAACTTATGTCCTTTTTAGTAATTTCTACATATAAAAAAGCACTTCTGACAATAAATATCCAAACACTCTCACTTTATCAAAATCACTTTTTCAGACAATCTATTCTTCCAAAATCTATTCTCTCCAAAATCTATTCTCCAGAAGCTATTCTCCAAACCATGGTTTGGCTTCATCCAAACACCCCCTTAAAATTATTTGCTGGTAACAAAATCGCTCACCAGTACCGCTCAGCACTAATATTAATGCAGCCGTTAGCTCAAATTGATCTCCAAATAACACATTCTTCCTGGATTGGGTGAAATACACATTTAGCTTAAAAAATTCTGCGAAGTGAGAAGTTTACCAAACCATTGAAATTCAACCATGCCCATCTGGGGGGTTCTGCAATAGTTAATGAAATCACCGTCGCCTTATCATAGCTGAAGTTGGAGTCCCTATGTATGTGAACAGTTATGCAAATAAGCTTCGTCTCAAGGAACAGTTATATAACTTTCATATGGCTGAAGCTACCCTTACTTAATCTCATATTGATGATTTTGATTCCATCATTGTGGATTTAGAAAATATTGCTGTTAAAATTAATGAAGACGGGGATAAAGCTATTTTGTTAGTTGTCTTATTGCCTCCCTCTTATTAAGTTTTTTTTTTTTAAATTACGTTATATGGAAATTCAGATGATTCAGCCTTTGAAGATGTAAAATCTAATTTATTGCCCATAGGAAAATTTGATCTTGAAGCCCGTTCTGAGTATAAGGGTGAAAGTTTAAATGTGAGGGGCAGAAATCAGGAAGAGGAGAGTATTGATAGGAAATATAGATCTAAGGCTAGGTGACATAATTCCAATAATAAAGCCTGTTATTATTGCAAGAAGTTAGGGTATGAGATTCCTCAGTATTATTGGCTTAAAATTAAGAAAGAGAAGGGGGGAAATTACAATTCTGTTCTACTTAATACTCCTCCGGTTCTTAATATAGGACCTAATTATTGAATTGATTTTGGTCTTAATATAAGACTTATTTTTTATATTTATTAATTTTTTTAAAATAACATATATGGATACTCCCTCAACCATAATCAAGTAAAAGAAAGAGGAAGGATATTAAAAAAAATGATTATGATATTTTAGAAAAAACATGTTATATTTTTTATAATTAACTAATTTACTTAACTTTCTTAATCTAATTAAATTAGCTAAATAGATTTTATATTAAGGACCGGTGGAGTAAAAATAAATAATCACAATTCTGTTCTAACAAACATGCGACCTAGAATCTCTAACCCAAAAAAAAAAAAAAAAAAGAACATGCAACCGAGAATCCATTTTCAATTCTGATTCCGTGCTTAGTTTTCTTTCTGCAGACAATACATATTCGCTGCTGCTTTAGACGTTTCATCTAATAATAGATTCAACCGCCGAAAGCTTCAGGACAGCACGTAGTACGCGACTTTTCCCAAATCAGGACGCAAGTTTAGAGAGGAAACTGTTCCTCCGGTTGGAAAACGAAGGTGAGGGAAGACAAGACAAACATGTGCAGAGTGGTATCATCCTGAATTTGGCTTGCTCTTTGAGGATTGACCCATGCATACGATCACGCATGTTGTCTGACGATATAAAGCTTTTTCAAGAATGACCCATGCATTGCGCTCGATTTTCATATTATTAGAGCAGCAGATGTTTGTTGATTCCCTTGAAGACGATGTTCTGTTCACTCTCTTGAGATCCTGTGACGAACTATGCAATCTTCCAAGACCTACGAGTGGAGTAATGGTTGGAGAGGAGCATTGAGGATGTTGTTGATTCAGACTTGTCTTGGAACAGGATCAACTCAAAGCATTTTGTTAATGCAGTGTAGCTGGTCAGTGAATTCTGTATATGTATTACCGTACGTACATGCAAGACCATATTATGCTTGAACTGGGTATGTTTCTTAATTTTAATTTGCGGCCTCCATCAGTTCTAATTAAGTGTGCACCAGCTGCTGCTCAATATATAATGATCATGAAGAACGTACGGCCTCATAATAAGATTAATTCATCATCACCGCGCTTTGCTTAGATTCATATGTTATAGATCGATTCATTTATATAGTTGCTGCTGCCTGTTCTTTTGGGTGGCATATGTAAAATCTGCGGACACTAGCTAATCATGATCTATTAAATAAGCACATAACCAAAGCTGTTCGTTATTCCCATATACATCATATCCTATCCTTAAATCGTTTCTACGGGTGACGTTAGATGAACATACGCACTTAGCTGCTTCCAAACGACGTTGAGCTCCCATGCACTCCGAATTTCCATATTCTATTCTTATACTGTCGTCGTGCGAATCTCACTGGGGGCTTGGTTCTAGTAATGAGTCGAACGAAAAGCAATATTTTCACATGATTTTACACCCATTAATTATGCATCTAATTACACGCTAGGCAGAGATCTATTACTTTAACTTCCATCAAACACAAAGATGTTCATTTAGCAAGAATTAGATTGGGAAAGCAACCATCGTACTAATAAGAAAAATAAAAACCATGAAGATTTTTAGTTTCCCCATCTAAATATACGGAACAAATTAATTAAGGTTCTCTATCTACTTATTTATTAGTAATACAGAGAAAAAAAAGTAGACTTGTATAACAAAATAATCACACGGAGTCACTTCACATGAGATCATACATGTTCAGTTTGAGGGGGTGTTAACAATGCAATTAACTTAACGATTGATCGAGCTTTTCTATTTAATGTAGGGTGTGTTTGGATGAAACCAAACCGTGGTTTGGAAAAGTGATTTTGGAGAATAGATTATGGGAAGAATAGATTCTGGAAAGAATAGATTTTATGAAAAAGTGATTTTGAGAAGTGAGAGTGTTTGGATAGTTGTTATCAGAAGCACTTTTTATATATACAAATTACTAAAAAAAAGACATAAGTTAATATGATAATTACAGAAAAAATAGATTTTATGATATATTTTAATTTGAAGGAATAAAATTGTTAATAATATATTTTTTATTAACATAATTAATAATACATAAGATAATATAATTAATAAATAATTAATATGTATATATATTTATAAAATATAAGATTAAATATGTTTATAAAAAAAAATAACAAGATACATATCCTATAGACTCTCACACTCTATTTTTTCTCCAAAAGCAAAAATTGTTTGCTTTTTCCAAAATCATGGTTTTGGAGTTTTTGGGTGGATGTTTGGGTGATTTATTCCCCAAACCATGGTTTGGGGTGTCACCCAAACACAGCCGTAATGTGTTATTTTAATTTATTGTTATTATTATTATTATATGACTTTGTATTTTTTGTTTTTGCGAGGAGCGCAAGAATATGTGAAGAGAGTTGGGTGATGAAAAAATGGAGAAAAAGGGAATGATATGATGATGAGAGAAGTTAGGTAAGTCAAGGACAAAGGCTGGCACATATAATGCAAAGAGCTTTAATTTAAATTTGTCCAAAAGTTGCGTCCAAGCTATGCCTTGTCCCCCCAACCATCCTTATCATTTCACTTCTTCCATTCTTATTATTCTCTTCCTTTGAGTGAAGCTTCCGTTTTAACTAATGAACACCCTCCTCGAAATTGCTTTCCTTCTCTCTCTCTCTCTCTCTCTCTCACTCTCTCTGATCTCTCCATCCAACAACACCAAAATCTTGTTTTGGGGCATTTCAACTTAGGATGAAAAAGCTTCCATAAGAAATCAAAAAATCAGCACTGGTTGCTTTCATTTCATGCCCTTCATCACAAATGCAGTTATTCCATGCTTGGCCAGCGAAACTACGTACACCGTCATCCATACATAGGGGGTGTTTGGTAACAATTTTCATAAAACGAAACAAGCTCTTACACATATTTTCTTCGTATATCGTAAAAGTATTTTTATAACCATAGTTTGATTTCTATTTAAATACCCCATAGTCGAATTAAACTTGGTTTAGCTCCTTCTCTGTTCAGCATCCATCATCTCCTCTCCCAAACGCACGAGAAGTATTTTACAATTAATTAATATCCCTAAATTAAAACATTTTAATCTTTTCAATTACATATATGTATCTCATTAAACATGTGTATTATATTATATTTTATGATCAATATCTTGTAAAACAACTTATAAAATAAAACACAATATTCCTCTGAAAAATGCCTTTAACACTTTCGAAGTTTTTCGCATCCGAATAAATTTTGCTAATTTCTAGTCACCTCAAATACTCGATCTTGCCTCTATCCCCTCCTCCTTCGATCTCGTCCCTCCCACGGGAACGCCCCACCTTCGGAGACCAAAAATTAAAGTGGCCTCTGATCTCTCCAAAAAGAATCCACAAGCGCACTACTAGCTAATTTCCTTCTGCTGTCTATCCTCTCTCAACCTTCCGAACGGAATCCACCAGCCCTGCCTTCTGTCTTATAGTTCAGACTCGGCTTCATATATACTATTTGCACCTATATTACATATGCTTACACTTGTGAACGATGCGAGCATCTAAGCTCTCGCATCTGTTTCACACCTTCCCCATTCATTCTGTTCAATTCGTCGTTCTCTTTGTGGCAAATTTAAACTATAATAATCATAATAACGTATCTCAGCCCACAGTATTTATAAAAACTAGGAAATTCGTGGCTAGGAACAATATTGAGGCACGCGTTTTAGAAAATAGAGAGCGGGGGATCAGCCTTGGACTTCAATTTATCGGTGACTCAGTAAGTTTATAATCACCTTACAAGTAGATCCCATGGAAGGCAAGTACACGTATGTGGTGGCAGGAATGGGAGTAACTTGGCAAGTACAAGAGATGGTATCAATTATGTACGCAACAGAACTTGTCGATTTTTTCTAAAAGTGTGCATTAAGAAGGGACGAAAGAAGTAGAGTCAAGAAAGATGGGCCAGTTGCCTCCCAAAGAGGAAAAGTAGAAATTACAACAAAGAAAAGGACCAAATGCCATTTTCTAGGTCTTCACGATTCTGCTGGTTTCATAAGCAAACTAAACAATCCCATTAAATTACCCCTGCCACTTTTGTTTTGTTTTTGTAGTTTATGTATGTGTATGTAGTGATTATAATTTAACCAACTTCTCGATTAATTTAGCCCCATGCATGCTTACTTTCTAACTAGTCATAAATCAATGATCTTGTTTGTAATTTTAATCTTCAAAACAATATTTCTTTAGCAGATAAACTACCGTAACACCAGAGCCACGGAACTCAAGTTGAATTTACTGAGCAATTGTTTATGCGACATGCATATGTATATTTGAGTTAATATGATGAGCTTATACAATTGTAGTGTAATTCATACACTTGATTTCCTTTAGTTTTGCAGGCTTACTGGGTAGAGTGGACCTATAAATCATATTATAACTTAGATAGTGACATGGAATATAGTTCATTTGACGTGACCTTGTTGATCATTAACTAGAGAGGATGGGGCAAAACAACGAGTCAGCGAGCCATGTCCAACAGGATTGTGGCTCTACATGGTTCGAGATAAGTGGTTGTGATAACATTAGTTGCTTTTATTTTGGTCATGTGAAAATGATAGCAAAATAAGAGAGCAAAAATTGAGTTGATCGATTAACCATTGACTCGTAAAAATGCCCGTCTATATGCGCTTTCAATAATGACATTTAATTGAGCGAAATTTTGGAAGCATAAGACCAATTTTTACAACCAAATTAACTATGTTTCAGTATCATCATATGAAGTAAAATAACTTGCAACTTATTTTACTTTGAGATCCAATTGCGTTTTTGACCCAGAACAAATTAGACACAATTTTTACCTATTCGTAATTGCATAGACTCTATTTTTGCAGCATTGTTTTAATTGTTTGGATTGGAACGAAGGTAAAAACTGTAGAGTTCAAATGGTGTGAAACCAATAGCTGAGCATGTTATAAGGAGGGGCAGTGCTGTTTTTGCAGGGTTTTGTAGGGAGTGAGTAAGCGTGTAATGTAGGCTGCAAGCATGAAGTGCAAAAAGAGAAATTCAAAATAAGTGAGAGAGAGAGAGAGAGTAGGTAAAAATTAAAAGACAAGTGGTGAATAAAATAACATGAATCCAAAGTGTGCATGATGCATGCGTGGGCGGGTGGGAAAGAGAGAGAAAGGAATAAGGACTGAAGGAGGGAGGGTGTCACGGACCCATCCACCCTCTCATTCAATGCTTTACCAAACTCACCTCCATATCCCTCCTCCTCCTTCTCTTCTCACTTATCCTCTCTCGCTCTCTACTCCACGCCACCAATGGAGTGCGAAGCTGCTTTCAAAACCAGTTCTCGCATGGACGCTGGCCTCAAATTCAGCCCCCGTGCGTTTCTCGAGGAGTTGTCCGCCTCCAATGTGCAGAATCTCACCCCTTCCGATCAGTTCTTTGTGGACGGCCTTCTTGACTTCTCCCACCACGACGCCCTCCCCGAGCAGCCGGACCAGCCACAACAACCCCTCCATGATTCTCTTCCTGTTTCTCCTCGCCTGCTCAACAAAACTCCTAAAACTTCTTCCGTCACGGACGATTTCGCCTCTGCCCAACTCATCCTTCCGGTACTTCCTTTCATTTCCTTCATTACAACACCCGTTTTCACCTCTTTTCTGCGTCCCCTTTCATGGTTGCTGATCAAAGTTGCAATCTTTATAGGCGGATGAAGAAGCAGACTTGGAGTGGCTCTCTCATTTCGTCGAGGATTCCTTCTTCGAATACTCCGCTCCGTACCCTGCCGGAACATTGCCGGGAATTCCGAAGACCGAGACAGAGAAAGTACTTGAATTTGAAACCCCTGTTGCGGCCTCGCCCTGTTTCCCGACCCCAGTTCCTGCCAAGGCCAGAAGCAAACGAACACGAACCGGATTGCGGGTTTGGTCACTGGGCTTTCCTCCTATCACCGAGTCGTCATCCTCAACTTCTTCGTCATCCTCCTCTTCTTCGTCTCCTTTGCTAATTTATAATAACAGTGTCTCTAATCCGCAGCTCATCGGCTTCGAAGCAAAGTCACCGAGCGTGAACAAACTAAAAAGGAGGACGGCTGATGAGGCGGCTGAGGGAGTGGCCGCTTCGACACCGCGGAAGTGCAGTCACTGCGGCGTGCAGAAGACCCCACAGTGGCGGACCGGACCGCTCGGAGCAAAAACGCTATGTAACGCGTGTGGGGTACGATATAAATCCGGCCGACTCTTGCCTGAATACAGACCCGCTTGTAGCCCGACATTCTCGAGCGAATTACACTCGAATCACCACCGGAAAGTGCTGGAGATGCGGCGGGAGAAGGAGATGAGCGAGATGGGGTCGGGTTTGGAGCCTCCGACTGTGGTCCCCAGTTTTTGATCAGTGGAAAAAAAATCTAGGTAGGAGAAAAATAGGCGAGGAAGGAATAGAATAATTAGTTTAGCAGAGAGAAGAGAACCGAGCTGGTGTAAATTTTTATAAATAATTTTTTTCTTTAAACTTTGTTGATGTGGTGGGTGCGGTAGGTGTTAGTCCTTTGTAACTGACTGAAAAGACTTGCACTTTTTTTTTCCCCCCCGGTGAACTGCACTCTTTTTAACTTAGAGGAGGAGCAGAGTGTTTTTTCTTTGTTTTTTGTTTTAGATGGAATAGAATAAGTATGTCGTGGTTTTCAAAGACGGAGGGGGTCCTGGAAATGGGAGGTGGGAATTACCGAATTAGGGCTGGGAAAGCATGGACTTGTTATTAAACTAAGAAGGGGGGTGGATTTATATCACCAAAAAACAAAAAAGGGTGAAGTGGTTGAAACTTGAGAAGCGTCGTGTGGCGTGGCCACATAGAATTTGTACTAATGGATTCCTTTTCTCGTTTCCAAACTCGTCAATCTCTGTACTTATCACTGGTTGTTTTTGGATGGAGATGTTCATGAATTTAAAATTGCTTATGCATGGACGTTTCCAAGTCGCATGAGCTAAAAATTGGAAGCCTGAGCCTGCCCTTTCCGCGCTTCCATAGCTTGGACACCTTTCACTTTTTTAGTGTTTTTTAACCAAATAAAAAACGTTTTAAATTAGTTTGTATTTGACGTTTTTTTTCACTTGGTATTGATAGAATATTTTTAGTGTGTTGTGTGATTCCAGAAATAAGACTTGGAATATTGAAGTGAAATTTAGATAATGGAGAATGAATAATGTGCATGAGCTGAACTTACTGAAGAAGATTAGAAAGAAGAAAGAATGATGAGGAGAAGGAAAGGAAAGAAAGGGAAGAGGAAATGTGGAGGGGAAGGCATGTATGTCAAAGCAAACAGATGGGGAAGTGTGTGGGGAATGCAAATGCTGCCCTTTCATTCAACTGCTGCTTGTTGTTCCATATTTTCATGTTCCCTTCTTCTCTTTCATTGTTATACTACTTCTGGTCTTTTAATATAATAATTAGTTGACTAATTTGAATAGATTAAGAAAATTAGTTAAAATAGTTATTTGTAATAAATAGGTATTGTCTTTTTTAAAATATTCTTACTAATTAAATATATTAGTTAGAACCATTATTATTACAAAGACTATATTGAAAAAAATATATAAATATAAGAGACAAAATAGATTGGGGTGTTATAGTTAAGACTAAAATAAAAGTCAAATAAATTTTTATATTAAGAACCGGATGCAGTATTTGGTGACGTCCTTTAATGGACACATACCAAAAGTGATTGCCTCATTTTCGCACGCACTGCATCTAATTGCATCCTCTCTAATGCCTTATTAATATAAATCTTTGGCTGCCTCTTAGCATTACATATAATCTCACGTGAAAGTCACACTTATTTAGCATGCACAATGCCGCCACTTTGTATTATTTTTGGACATTGAAAAGCATGTGGATGACTCAAATTTCAAACAACAATAATGGTATTATTAAAAATAAGGGTGACGTTGTATGGGCAATATATTAATGAATGAATATAAGCCAATGCAGTTATGACTTATGAATAGGGTTAAAGTGCAATCCACCCCGGAGGCTATTTGTTTGTCGCAATTTCAACTCAGATATATTTTGAGGTGCAATTTTTGTCACGTCTTTCCAAATTGGGCAATGTTCGACCGATTGGACGGTTTGGCTAAACGGCGTCAAAAAACTCCCACGCTGGAAAGAAATTAATTGGAGACACAGCAAATGTATAGATTGGCGCCGTTGGATGAGTTCATTAAAAGAGATAGATGCCATTTGAAACTTAGTCAAGGGCACACGAAGTGTGAAACATTATCCAGACAGTAACCAGTTTGGGGGACTTTTGAGGCAAAGGCGATGGAAGAATCTATGTCATCCCCGATAAGAAGCATTAGGACGAGAGTGTTGATGCTGAGGGAGGGTGCGGAGTCGGAATATGAAGGGGGTCAGAGATACTATCATTGTGGTTTGGCTGCTCTACGGTGACTTCATGGACTAAGAGGAACCGGAGAACGTAACATACTTTAGACTTAAGGGAAGATTTTTGGGGGAGGGTAGTAAATGAGAGAAGAAAATGGAGGAAGGGTAATTAATGAAGGGAAAAAAAAGAGAGGAAAGGACGGATCGAGGTGGAAAAAAATGAAAGAAGTAGTAAAGGAAGTTGAAAAAAGAAAAAAATAGGGAGTGGGAGGTTGGAAGGTGAAGGAAAATAGAATAAAAGAGAGGGGAGATGGAAGAAAAAGAGAGAGCGAGAGAAGAAAAAGAGAAAGCAAGAGGCAAAGAGGAAAGGAAAGCAAGCAAGCAAAGTTGCAGAGTATGTGATAAGTTTTAGAAATCATTTAGGTACACAAAATTATTTTTTTTAGTCAAATTTTCTTTATGAATATTTCCTATATATTTAGAGCTCTATATTATTAGTATTATAATGGTTAGAGAAAACTTTATCTTTTGGATATAGAGTAAATATAGAATTTTAACAATATATGACTGTAAAAATTTAAAGATACATTATTAAGAAATTTTAATCTGTTTATATTTGTTTAATGATTATTTTGAGAATTTTAAATTAAGATTTTAGTTGAAAAATTTGTCATTCAAAGATATAGAATGTTTTACAGATTAAATTTACGTTAAATAATTTATTTGAGTTATTTAATATATTATTGAGATTTTAATCAACTTGAATATTGAATAAGTTAAAGATTTGTTGTTGAAATAATTTTGAAAGCTTGAAAATTTTGTAAATTGAGAATTTTATGAAATTAAATAAAGTTTAGGTTTGTTATAATTTAAAGAAGTTGTTTGGTTTGAGAAAAAATTTTAAAGGAGACTATAATAAATAATTGAAAATTTTAATATAAAATATTCAGATTTAGGGTAATAAAAATATTTACTTAAGTTATTAAATTTAAATAGTCTTATATGCTAATATATTTTTGTTTAGAGGATAGTCTTAGAATTTTAGACTAGTTTTGGTGTAGTTTTGAATTTTATATTAATAAATATTTATGTGTAATTTTGTAGACTATTGAGAATTTTGGAGTAATCTTTGTATGAATATTTGTAAGCTAAAATGTACCAAGTAATTTTGAACATTTTTTGGGTTAAGGTGCACCCAACACCCCCAAGTATTTTTTCAGGTGCACCCAATGGCCTAAAGTAATTTATGGTGCAATTTCGCCCTCAAAGTAATTAAAACGGTGCACTGGTATCCCATGCTAATAGATCTGTTACTTTGACTGTGAAATTGATGAGTCAGCACAAGTTTGATCAAAATAATCTAACCTGGCGTGTCTAATAAGCAGGTGACGTGGCTTTTCTTGTTAATTCCTTTGTTTTGTCCAAATATTATCTCTGAAATATTGCGTCTGGGGTGAAACAACTCGCAAAGGAAAATGAAAGTAGGCTTTTCTTCTCCATGTTTCGTCTTCAGCAAATCGTAATCCCTGTGATGTGAAATTTTCTTCTCTGACCAAATCGATTGATGTTTGTACTTGTTTTTCCCTCTATGTCAGTAGCCGCACCCATTGAAATCTGAGAAACATTGCTCATCTATTTGTGCCCCTTTCTGCATTTGAAAATCTGATGGGTGAATCAAACTCAGATTCGACGGCGACGAGCAAAAGAAGGATTGGTTTGGTCAGACAAGTTGGAATAGAGACCGAGTATGAAGGGCGTCAAAGGAATTGCTTGTTTGTCTTGAATATATTCTTGAATATATTATAGAGAGCCGATTAGCCAAATCTAATTCTTCAATATATTCTTGAATATATTATAGAGAGCCGATTAGCCAAACATCGAGAAGGGTTGTTTGTTATTGGGCCTTATCACAAAAATGGAATATATTTTGTCGGTCTAAACCAAACAAACAATTCCTTCAGTCTTTCATGTTTGCTTTTGAAGCTAATGAATTTGATAAGTTCCAAGTAAATAATAATTATAATTTTCGAACAAACGTACAAGCATGTCAAGATTCAACATAAATATATTTGGCTGGCAATCGCAAACCCCTCTACTACCAAATGTACAAGCATCAACCAATTTCTAGATCAACTTACTATCAATTTAACTTACTTGGTTGTATTTTTGGCACCCGTAAAACCTTCTGCTAGGGTTCTTCTCACTCCATGCTGTCCATCAAGGAGCCACCGCACCACAAAAATAGAACTTCAACGCCCTTCATACTCGGTCTCTATTCCAACTTGTCTGACTGGCTCTCTATAATATATTCAAGAATATATTCAAGAATTAGATTTGGCTAACCGGCTCTCTATAATATATTCAAGACAAACAAGCAATTCCTTTGACGCCCTTCATACTCGGTCTCTATTCCAACTTGTCTGACCAAACCAATCCTTCTTTTGCTCGTCGCCGTCGAATCTGAGTTTGATTCACCCATTAGATATTCAAATGCAGAAGGGGGGCACAAATAGATGAGCAATGTTTCTCAGATTTCAACGGGTGCAGCCACTGACATAGAGGGAAAAACAAGTACAAACTTCAATCGATTTGGTCGGAGAAGAAAATTTCACACCACAGGGATTACGATTTGCTGAAAACGAAACATGGAGAAGAAAAGCCTACGTTCATTTTCCTCTGCAAGTCGTTTCACCCCAGACACAATATTTCAGAGATAATATTCAAACAAAACAAAAGAATTAACAAGAAAAGCCACGTCACCTGCTTATTAGACACACTAGGTCAGATTATTTTGGTCAAACTTGTGCTGACTCATCAATTTCACGGTCAAAGTAACATATCTGTTAGCATGGGATACCAGTGCACCATTTTAATTACTTTGAGGGCAAAATTGCACAATAAATTACTTTAGGTCACTGGGTGCACCTGGAAAAATACTTAGAGGTGTTGGGTGCACCTTAACCCAAAATTTTTCATGTACATGTGAATTGTGTATGATTATATTGTGGATTTATTAATTTATTATACCATATTGAAATATATCTATGTATCATGACTTTTCAAATAAATGTTTTATTTTGTTAAGAATTATTGCTATTAATTATGATCAATATTTAAATATATTGAGTTATTGATACAGAAATTTTATTGTTATCTTACTTTAATAACATATTTGAGGACGTATAGCTGATGTAACATTATTTACTTATAACATATGTATTGTTGGGTTAAGGATAGAAGGAAATTTGTATGGATATAAAATTATCAGGCGGTATGCCATCACTCTGCACAGTGGATGACACTTGTCAGGGTCTCTTTTTTCATGTTTTCTTTTGGCAGGAAATTTATTGGAGCAGTGGGACATGTGATATCTCCTTATTTTATTTGTAAAGGAGGGAAGCCATAATTTGAACTTGAGTTCTATATCTTTGACTAGATATATCTTTAGTATCAGTGAGCTTGGAATAATTTAGTAAGATGGATTAGTTCTTATTGGACTAAGTATTAGCCTATTGCTCCAATCAACGGTATAAGGGTGGACGGTGATATAAGGGAGGCTGCATATTGCATTATTTTTGGATATATTAGAAAAATGATATTGGTATATCAATGAATCAAAAATGAAATTGAGTTGAATGTATAAAATCTATGATTTTGATACATAAATATATATACACATATAAACAGATTTTTGTCTATCATATATGGTTTGCTTGTTTAGGTTAGAAGTTCAGTAGTTACTGGGACGTTTGATCTCATCCCTTATATTAATATTTTTAGGTGAATGATCTAGTAGGAATCAAGAAAAGGCACTGATAGTGTGAGCTGTGAAGGCTTCTGTGCTTCTCAAGCACATGCTATGTTATATTTTAATTACTATGACTATAAGGTTTCAATAGTTTATTTTGTTATGTCTGAAAAATATTTTGAAATTGATCTGTTTTGAATGCTAAAAATATGTATGGATTTTTAAATGAAGTATTTTATTGCGTATGTGGATACAATTACGTGAGGTGTTACAAAGAAGATTCTATGGGTGCCCGAACTATTGGAAGGTATGTGTGTGTTATATTGTTGGGTTAGTAAAATGGGTTGTAATTTTTTGCGACATTGTGCCGGGGGAATGTGGGTATTTTGTGTGGCATGATGAAGATGCAAATGAAAGGTCGAAGGTTGTGATTAATGCACTTGTGGAACATGTAGATAAACTTTTTATGGAAAATGTGAGGATGCGGACGTGAGAGATGCAAGGGGAGAAAGTCCAAATGAAGCAAACGAAGGTATTATTGGGGTGTATGGTGAAATGAAGTGCAGATGCAACAAGAGAAGGAGCTGGTGCTATTGAAGAAGCTGAACACAATAACAGCTAGTGTAACCATGTTGGAGTGAATCGAAATACTCCTCCGGTCCTTGATATAAGACCCATTTAACTAATTTGATTAAATTAAAGAAGTTAGATAAGTTAGTTAATTATAAGAAAAGTAACACATTTTTCCTAAAATACCATAATGATCTTTCTAATACCCCCTCTCCCTCTTCTACTTGATTATGGTTGATGGAGTATTTATAGGGATAATTTAGAGAAAATTGATAAATATGATAAATGGGTCTTATATTTAGGACCAAAACTAACTCAATAATTGGGTCCTATATTAAGGACCGGAGAGTAGCATTTTTTAGATGTATTTTGGTGGTTAAATTTGGGAATTGTATTTTGTTTGTTGCTTGTTTCTTTGGGATAGGTATGAGTTATTAGAATTTATATTTTACTGATGACAGATGTATTTTCTCAATTTATAATTTCTAGTAAAACCATGGTCCAAGAATATTCCTTAATTAGTTTTCTCTATCACATATTCAAGAATTGATTTTCTCAAGTACATATTTGAGAAGCTCCATAAGTTTTGCTAAATTATTTTTCTCTAAACTGTTTTTATCTAATATATAGTTGAGAACTGGTCTTTTCAAATATATATTTAAGAACTAATATTTGAGAAATTTTTCTATCAACTAAAGACTTCTTATCAAAACACTAATATTCAGCAACACACAATCAAAACACGCTTACTAACAGTCAACATAGCTAAACCGTCCAATAGGTCGAATATTGTCCCACTTAGAAATATGACGTGATAAAAATTGCGCCTCAAAATATGTCTGGGTTTAAATTGCGACAAACAAAAAACCTCGGGGGTACGATTGTATTTTAACCCTTTTGAATATTATTTAAAGCACAGCCTATTTGTTTTCCTGATAACCACCATTCATATTCATGTCATGAGGCCCAGACTGAAGGCGCGCATGATGGGAAGTACTGGACTGGATTTTAGGAAGGCCCAACAGCCTAAATCCCTTCCGAAAACAAACTATTGAGAGCCTCTGAAATAGCATATGAAATCGAAAGAAAAGGTTTTTATTGTCAATCTCGCATACAACGCTCTCAGATTCAGCGTATACGGTGTGCCCCATAACATGGCAACATACGCGAGACTATGTAATCCTACTTCTGTCCGACACACAAACAATTCCGAACAAAGCTAACCAAGAGCGCCATGCATGTCAAGGTGAGGGAAGCTTGCTGCTGCTGCTTCTTCCTTCTGATTTCTTCTCATCTCCACATCCCCAAACCCAACACCCAATATTCCAATTACCACCGCCTCCCCACCCCGTCCGCCACCCCCACCCCCTCCTCCACCACCGCCCCCGCCCCCGCCTCCTCCTCCACCATTACCAATTCCTCCCCCCCACCATGACCTTTCCCATTTCCTCCTCCTCCACCTCCACCTCCACCTCCCCCATTGCCTCCTCCTCCACCACCCCCCTCCCCCACCTCCGCCCGCCGCCGCCTCCTCCCCCTCCACCAGTACCATTTCCTCCCCCCCACCCATGACCTTTCCCGTTCCTCCTCCTCCTCCGCCGCCCCCACCACTGCCACCCCTCCTCCCCTCCTCCACCGCCCCCTCCGCCTCCTCGACTTCCGCCATTATTTATTCTCCCCCGTCCTTCGTGTCTGCCTTTACCTCCTCTTCACCGGTATTGCTCACGTTCATATTCTGCTCAACTCTTATTTCGTCAGGAGTTGTAGCTGTAGAATTAACGAACCGGCCAGTGCCATCTACTCTCTTCACGCTGTCTTCACTTCTCACGTCAGCCAGACAAGCACCAAAGGCCACCACGAGTAGCAGAACAATCCCAAAAACTCTTCCCGTGATCTCCATCTCTAATTAGTAATGGCCAATTCCTCAACCCAACAATGCATATATCGCTGCTCCCTCACCCCATCCTTTTATAGCCTTTGCGTTACAAAATACCGTGCCTGTAATTCCCATTGCCAAGCAAGTGCAGTCCCCACACTAACACATACCGTAAGCCTCCCACATAAGGCTGCAAAAGTTAGGCTGCAAGATGACGAAGTGATTCTGTCATTTTCCTTGCACTTCAATTTGTCCCCACTCCTATTTCTTACTTAATTCCTTACAAACTACTGCCCTTCATCAAGCCTCCAAGCATGCTGGGTTTTTAGCTACAAATAAATATCTTATCTGCACAATATATATATATATATATATATATATATGTAAGTAGAGAGGCCCACAAATGGTGCGAGCATTTTAACGTGAATATTTTGTTGAGGATGACCATATCTATCTGTCCTAGGCGCGCATGATTAGCAGAAAAGATAAACTTCTCGGAGTTGCCATTCAATAATATTTTAAGTCATTAACGTGTTCATCCCGAGCTTAATATGTTTAGTAATTTGTATCTGCCAATCATATGTCTTTGTTTTATCATGCATACCACCAAATCCCCACCAGGGAAGAAAACCACGAGAGAGGCTAGGCGCATATAATAGAGTACCCATGTGATTTGTTGAGTGGGTGCGTGCTCGCTTTTGCTTGACGATGAGAATTGTGCAGGATAGCTTGTGCAAGTTGCAGCAGCCTATTGAAGACAATACAAAAAAGGCCATTACCAAGGACAGTACTTAGATACCTAGTTTTTTAATCAAGTACTTTTCACGATTTTCTTTAATTAACAAAAACATTTGTTTCTTCACCCATAACATTTTCACTACAAAAAAATATGTTAATTGTAGCGGTTAGAGTGATACATTTCTAGCGGTTTTAACCGCAACAAATAACATTTGTAACGGTTAACAAAACCGCTAGAAAAACAGGCGCAAGAAAAAATTTCTAGCGGTTATGGCAACCGCTACACATTATGGTCAACACGCTAGAAAATTTCTAGCGGTTTATAACCGCTAGAAAATATGTAAAGGAAAAATATTTCTAGCGGTTATGAAACCGCTAGAAAATGTGCCCGGAATAAAATTTCTAGCGGTTTTATAACCGCTAGAAACATGCTAAACCAAATCAATTTTGCCGGGAAATAAATAATTTCAATAGTGCACGCAAATTTCTAGCGGTTATAGAACCGCTAGAAATGTTTGGAAAATTAAATTTTCCCGCCAATTAAATTTCTGGAATGGCGGCAAAAAATTTTCTAGCGGTTTGAACCGCTAGAAATTTTGGCGCAAAATTTAAATTTGACGAAATATTTCTAGCGGTTCGTAACCGCTAGAAATGTTTACCATGCCAAAAAAAAAAAAAATTGGTTTTTCATATAATAATTTTAAAAACCATTAAATAAATTATGTTGAAGAATTTTTGTTAATTTGTATAATTAGTTATATGTTACATTTTATATATTTAAATTTTTTAATAAACAATATGTAATTAAATTATGAATGTGTCAAAGGAAGTGAATTTAATTTAATAAGATAATTTAATTGAATATTTAATAAGATAGTTGAATTGAAGATGATATATTTTGTAATATTGAACCTATAGTGTTAGGTTGAGGAGTATTTGAATCAGTTGAGGAGGGCATGACAATGTGGAGAAAAAAATCTGAAAGAAAAGGAGAAATAAATATGTTAGTAAATTTTAAATAAAACAAATAAAAGATACAATGAATTATAAAATAAAATTCACTTACCATACAGTAAGGAGAAAGAAACCACCATATGAGATAGTAAGAAAAAAAGAGAGAATTATGAAGAAGAATAGGAGAGGAAAGAAAAGAGATGGAGTAAATAAATGTAGAGAAGATATGGTATTTATAGAGATCAGCGACACATTTGTAGCGGTATTTTGTAGCGTTTTTTACATTTTGTAGCTGTTATTCATTTTCTAGCGTATATATAACCGCTAGTATTTTGTAGCGGTTTCATTTGTAGCGGTTAATAACCGCTACAAATTAAATTTTTTTTATTTTTAAAAAGCTGAACGAATTTTAATTTATAGATATAATTTGTAGCGGTTAATAACCGCTACAAATTAAATTTTTTTATTTTTAAATATGTGAACGAATTTTAATTTATAGACATATATTTGTAGCGGTTAATAACCGCTACAAATTTATTTTTTTATTTTTAAATATCTGAACGAATTTTAATTTATAGATATGTATTTGTAGCGGTTAATAACCGCTACAAATTATAATTTTGTAAAATAAATTTGTAGCGGTTATTAACCGCTACAAATTAAATTTTTTATTTTTAAAAAAACTGTACGAATTTTAATTTATACATATGTATTTATGGACGGAAAATTTTTTTAATAATTTATTTTGGATGCTGCTATTCTCCATCATCATCCGGCCTGAAAGGACACATTTTAAAAAAATTTGTTAAATTTATAATGTATTTGGAAAAAATTAGTAATTAGTAGTTAATTATTTAAATAATTTAAGAAAAGACGTGTACCTGATAATTGGCAAATTATCATCTCCTTGAGGAAAGAAGTCTTCAAAATTCGAGGGTTGGAAGGGTTCACTGTCGTAAATAATGTCACCATCACCCATATCATAAAGATCCCGTGGCTTGAGGTGAACGACCATATTCCAGTCTTTATGTTTCTCGTCCTCGACATAGTAAATTTGGTGTGCCTCAGAAGCAAGGATATATGGCTCATCATCTTCAGATGCCCCCGTATGAATAAGTCTAGAGAAATTAACTGAGGTGATGCCCAAATGGTCAGTAGCGAGTCCCCGTGAAGTTGTCGTATTTGCCCAGGAGCACTTGAACAGTGTCACGGTGAAAAGCTGGTAACTCAACTCAATAATGTCAATTAGCTTTCCATAGTAAGTGACGCCTCCAAAGCGCATATCGCCATCACTACTGCTAGCATAACATCTCGTTCCGAATGTCCCGCAAACTCCAGAGTTTTGTGTGAGCAATCCCTGATCACGTCCAACCGTACAGAACTTGAAGCCGTTGACATTGTACGCGGTAAACCTTCGTGCATGGTCTAACGGACCGAGAGAAAGAGCTTTGAATTCATCTGTGTATGGGCTGTTGTCATTACGTATTCGACGTGTAAACCAACTGGGAAACTCTTTGTGGACTCTTTTATCAATGTCAGCAGAACGCGCACGGCCCCGTAGCTGACGCCTGAGATAACTCCTAAACTCACTATAGTAAAGTGTAATTTGTTAGAAGAGTCAGTAAGAAACAAATATAAAGTGTAAAAGCTAGTGAGCTTATATGATATATATACTTACTGCATGAAGGGTTCAACTTGGCTGCAATTTATCAAAACGTGTCTGTGTGCCTGGAGTTTCTCTGTAGGAGTGAGTCTGAAGAATTCATATCCTCCAACTGGTTTCCCAACAGGAGGAAATAAAGTTGACGTGGAAGGACCAGGAGGAGAATCATCTACGCGACGCGGGCGGTTAAAAGATGTCTCCATGTCATCAAAGTACCTCGAACAGAAAGTTAGGACCTCATCTCCGGAATAACCTTCTGCTATTGACCCCTCAGGCCATGCCTTATTCCTAACATATGATTTTAATTTTCCCAAGTACCTGTAAGTTAAAATTGCATTAATAATTACGAGTAAATGAAAGAACAATGTGAAATTTAAAGAGGCGGGAATAAAAGATAATCTAGTACCTCTCTATAGGGTACATCCATCGATAGTGAACTGGGCCAGCAACCTTTGCTTCTCGAACAAGGTGGACAGTCAAGTGAACCATAACAGTAAAGAATGATGGAGGAAATATCATCTCCAAGTGACAAAGTGTAAGAATAATTTTATTTTGCAGCTGATCAAGCTCTTCCGCTACCAAGACCTTCGCACACAACTTCTTGAAAAATGAACATAATTCTACCAAAACCACCGATACATCAGAAGGAAGTGTGTTTTTCAAGGCCAATGGAAGTAACTGTTGCATAAGAACATGAGAGTCATGACTTTTCAACCCAGTAACCTTTCGAGCCTGCAGATCGATACACCTTGAGATGTTGCTAGAATATCCATCTGGTACTTTTATGTTCTTCAACGTCGAGAGGAAGATATCCTTGTTATGCTTTGTCAAGGTGAATTTAGCTGGCTGAAACTTGTCGTTTTCATCAGGCCAAGCCTCTTCACGAATTCCCCAGGCCCGTAAATCTTTCTAGCTGCGAGATGGTCTTTGGACTTTCCAGCTTCATTGAGCAACGTATATAGCACATTATCGCACACATTTTTTTCAATGTGCATAACATCCAAACTGTGTCGTAGCAAATTAGATTCCCAATAAGGAAGAGTGAAAAATATGCTTCTCTTCGCCATTGCATAGGTTGCGTATCAGATGTCCCACGAGATCGTCGTCCCAATCGTTCGGGATCCACACTCTTACCAAACTCGACATGAACATCTTCTAACTGCCGCAAAATATCCATACCAGACAAAGTAACAGGAGGATCTCTCTTCTCCTGTTTCCCATCAAAGCGAATCCGTTGCAATCTAAGTCTGTGCTTGGAATCAAGGAACCGTCGATGTCCTATGAAGCACCACTTGCGACTGTGTGGAAGGCGACATGGCACAGAATCAAAATTGCACTCAGGACAGGCCAACCCAGTATGCACATTCCAGCCAGACAAAGTTCCCAAACCGGGAAAATCACTTATTGTCCACATCAAGGCTGCACGGAGATTGAA